ATTTGTAGAGGTCCCACAGGAGCGTGGCAGCAGAGTCGCCACTGCGAACGGCCGTCTCGGACCTGAACGCCTGTCTCCAGACCACGTCGGCAGCAGCTGCGAAACCGCCGCCCGCGAAATACGGCCGTTGGAATTTGGCATCCCAGGCTGATGCAAGACCCCTGCGGCACCGCCCCCACAGGCGGTAGCAGGACACAAAGATGCCGATCGGACGGAATCCCCCCGCTGGCTTTCGCAGCAGCGCAGTCAGGATGGCCTGGAGCTGGCGGGGGACGAGCCCAGACCTTTCCATCACCATCAAAAGGACCCCCAAGACCCCCAAAGACTGATCACTCAGACTAGCGTAGTGTTTCATATGGAAGCCATCTATGGAGACGGCCGTGTGAGGGGCATAAGTTCTGCTAGTTTGCCTCAGGACCTCGGGCTCCAGGAGAGGGAGGGGGTCCATAGGGGTGAAATGCTCCAGGGGCTCGGGCTCAACGTCCGTTGCCTCCCACAGGTCGGCGAACTTTGCGGCCTCAGATGCAAGAAGGGAGAGCGGGTCGGCCAAGACGCACCCGTCGGAACTGAGCGTGGTCGTAGGGGACCAAGGGTCCACGCCACGAATGATCCCGTGGGCCCTCCGGGCCCCTTGCTCGATCCTCTCGTGGATTCAACGCTTCCAGTTCTTGGTCGACTCCGCCCTCGCCTCACCTATGAAACTCTGGAGGGCGACGTCCATGCTGTTAAGTAAGCTCTCCCCTGTTTTTCAGGTGAACTGAAAAACTGAAGTCTCCAGGAAAAGGCACACCTCCGAATACCAAGTCCCGAACTGCCCCAAAACATCATTGATGAAGTACGGCGGGTTCAGGATGAGCGCCCTGACTTCCGCGTAGTGGGCGCTGGCCATGTCTGCCGCCGCCAGCAAAAGCAGCAGGTGGAACTTGCCAACAAGCCAACGCGCAGCATAGACAGGAACTTCGCTGGGGTTGGGCTTGGACTCACGAAGAAGAGGTACCCAGTGCAGGCGTGGCATCTTTCCCCTGGATCCGATACATGGGAGAGTGACTTGACGAGACGATATCAACTCCTTCTCGGACGTGTTAGCCCACTTCCGGTAAAGGTCAGTGAGCCCTGCCTGCACCTTCCTCGCATCCCCGGTGTCCACAGCTGCTGCTAACACATCAGCTTCGCGCTGGATGCCAGCCCATCTCCACGGCGGCGCACAGGCAGGACCTATGGGCAGCTCAACGGGAATCGGGGGCGGGCGCCGGAAAGTCAGACCCTTCAAAGTTGCCAGTTTGTCGTAACAAACTGCCTGGACGGGAACGTGAGGGGAGATGCACGATGTATGATTGGCGGTCACGCTGCGGACGGCCTTCTCGAGGCCACCGTTCATGACGAAATAGTCGTACATCTTCACCCCCGCTGTGGAGACACACGTCCCCGCAGCCCCTGCAGGATAAACAATTTGACCACGAAGGCGGTTGGCCACCCCTGACTTGGCAAAAACGTCGGGCACCATGTTGAAATCGCCTCCTATGATCGACGGCTCGCCGATCGATTCGACGAAAGATGCAACGCTGCTCAGTATGTCTACGTTCTGATCCGAAAGGTCCTGACAATGGTGCAAGTACACGCTGCAGCAGCAAATGGTCCTAGAGTCCCGGGGTAAATGAACCAACACTCCCAAGGCCCTGAACCAGGATATCACGAACGTGTTAGTCGCGAAAAAGATCCCCATGAAGTCCCTCACCAAAACGCCGACTCCCCCTGATGAGGAAGTTCCTGATGTCTGCTGGGCGGGGGCGAGGCACGCCGTTCAGCCGTTGCGCTTTGCCCAGGATGCCGCACTGTTCAGAGCGTCGTCCGTGAACAAATGGTGCCCCTGCAAAAGAATAATGGCAGCCACAACTTAATCGAACTCCAGCAGGTGGCATTGACAGTTTCGACCGAGAGCTGGAGCGGTTCTCTCCCAGGAGCCTCGGGCGGATGGGGGAAACAAGAACGCATGAAATTCACAGAACCATAACTGGGCTCAGGGTGAACAAAACTTCGAGAGCAAGCGGGGCCCGGAAAAGACCCGATAGCAGCCTGCGATTCACGCGGATTACCTTGCTGGCGCCTGCTGCGCGGGGGCGGCGGCCGAGCCTCCAGCTCCAGCCGCATGGCTCCCCTTGCCGCCGACGACGACGAAGAGAGCGGTTCTGCACAAACCGAACCAAGACGCCCCACAATGGGAGGAGGAGGAGGAGGAGGAGGAGGAGGAGGAGGAGGAGGAGGAGGATTGGAGGACGGATGGGCGGACAATCGTGCGTTCGCCGTCTGAGACAGGACGGCGCGCGCTTGCTGGGAAATGCCCTTGGGCATAAAAACTTGGAGTGGGGAACGCAAGGGGATAGCAGGCGAGGGCCTGAGCGCGAGCAAAAAGTCCATCCCTCCCCCGTCCGCTAAAAAAGAAACATGGTGCTCACCCCCCTCCTCACTCCTCAGCGGGAGGGGGGCCTAACCTTGCTACTGCGGGCAGCCGCCAGGTCACGAGCCCGCGCGCGCACCTTGTCCAGCAAGTTGTCGGGCTCGGCGACGTCGGCCTCCGCCTGAGGCCCCGGCTTGCTGGGCGCCGCCGCGCCCGCCGCGGCTGGCGGAGGAAAGCCTCCACCCTCGGCAGCAGCACCTGGAGCGCCAGCTTCTTGTACACCTCCAGCCGCAGCAGCGCCTTCCTCGCCGACTCGGCGCTTCTTCTGGGCCAAGCGGGCACGAAGAGCTTGGTGGTCCGTCTTGGCCTGCTTGGCCTTCTCCATGGCCTTGGAGAAGAGGTCCTTGGCCAGGTCGCGAATGCTGCCCATGAGCTCCTCCTTGCGCTTGTTGGCCTCGGCGATGTCCGCCTCCTCCAGGGTGTCGTCGGCGCCCAGGTCCAGCAAGTCGCCCATGTCCAGGTCGAAGCAGCCCACCTTGTCCTCCAGCAGGTCAGCCAGGGCGACAGACGGGCGGCACGCCGCAGGGGCGGCCTGCGCGGCCGCCTTGCCGCTCTTGACCTTGCCGGACAGCTCTTCGTGCACCAGGTCCAGCTGGTCGAGCTCCTTGCCCATGGTGATGATGAGCGCCTCCTGAGCCTGCAGCTTCGAGGTCCAGCTCTCGAGCACCTGGATCTCATGCTGCATGCGCCTGCCGAGCTTGACCCGCTCCCGCTGTGTGCGCGCCAGCTGCTCCTCCAGAGGCTCCAGAGGCACGTCGGCCTTGGCAGGCGGCTGGCGCGCCGTGAGCATGCACTGCAGGCGGTGAGCCTCGGACACATTGCCGATCTTCCTGTGGAGCGCCACAAAGGTCTCCAGCTCGGCGACAGACAGCTCGGATTCATGGGGGGCAGGTGGAGGCACCCCGTGAGCGATGCCATGCAGAGGCCCTGGCGGAGGAGGAGGAGGAGGAGGAGGAGGAGGAGGAGGAGGAGGAGGCAGAGGAGGGGGGGGGGAGGAGGAGGGGGGGGAGGGGAGGAGCAGGAGGAGGAAAGGGAGGGGATGAACGTGCAAGCACTCCTGGGAGAAGGAGCGGATGTCGATTAGGTGCGAAATGCCGCCCACGCACACGAGAAATTCCGCACCTGATCGACATGGCTCGTGCAGGCGCTCCCTGGAAGTGATCTGTCAGAGGAGGACAAGGTACCCACACCGCTTCCCTCCCTCGTTTTCTCCTTCTGGGCCTCGCCACCGCTGGATTCGCCTCGAAGTCCTGGTCAGAGCGCACCCCAGGAGAGGTCTGGGGAGTAGCGGTGTCGGTACCTTGCTGGTGTCCCCAATCTATCGGAGCACCGCGCGGATGTCCTGACCTCGGGCGCCAGGGAGGCGCGTCAGCGCCTAATCGACATGACTCTGGAGGTAGGATGTTCCAACCGACTTCAGCATTGATCACCAGAAAGAATCCCGAGCACCAAAAAAGTGCCGAAATTCGAGCGCTTTTACGCGTCGGGCCCCGGGGGGACACTCGTCCGACACTGTTTCGACACTCTTTCGACCTTTCTCCGGGTGCTCGAACTTATTACTGGGATGTGGTCCTCAAGTACGATGGGGACACCATAATTCTGGAGGTAGGATAGGGGTATGGTACAAAGGGGTGTGATTCTAGTTTCATGTGGAGGGGACTCTGACATTATTATTCATCGCAAATAACATCGCCGTTTCCACAATGAGCACACTACCCCTTCATGCCGCACCCCTCTCGGGCCTCCAAAATGACTAGTGCAAGCACTTTTGGGGAGTGATCCGTCGGAGCACCGCGCGGATTGCATGACCTCGGGCGCCGGGGAGGCGCGTCCGCGCCGATCCTGACAGTCCGCGCGGGCCTCTGGAGGTTTGTGTTCATGCCGTCTTCTCCGTCTCAACCTCGCAGGGGCGCGTACCTTGTCCTCGCGGCGTGAGAGAAACTCGCAGCGGACGGTTTGGGGCAAATTTTCGACTTCCGAGGCCTCCAGGCCGTCAAAAAAAGACTCGGGATGAGAAGTCCCGCGGGGAAGGGGCTGAGATTTCAGAGGGTAAATTATTGATAGACGACGTCGGAGTGTTGGAGAGGACCCGCTCTCACCATGCATCCCGTGCGTTGCGCGACTCCCGTTGATTGAAGCCGCGACGTGTTACTTGAAAGTTTTCGCTGGCGCCGCTCAGGAAGCTTCGTGCCTTGTATACTGTTGACGCTTCGTGTATGCCCACTAGCCCATCCAGGAACGATTATCATGCTAGTTGCCTTGGCCAGGAAAGCACAGGAGCTTGCCATGGAGCGCAGAGGGGGAACCGTCAAAAAGGAGCTCGGGTTGAGCGGGAACATAACCATGTGTCAATCATAAAGGCCGTGGTTGATCCTTTGATCTGGGAGCCTCTTGAAGAGTTATCGGGGCTATATCTGGGAGGTGTCAAGGCCATTTTGTAAGCCTTTGGGGCGCTCTCCTGGGCCACTCTCAGAGGCCTTGGGGATTCTCTGGAGAGACATCGATCGGGACAACTGGCAGCGCCGATGAGCACCGCATCCGCAAGGTCGGCCTCATGGCGAGGGTCAAGGCGTCGGGGCGCGAGGGCGTTGTCGTCGAGCACGACCTGCAGGACGAGCAGATGGCGTACAAGGTCCGGATGGGGCTAGGACGAGGATAAATCCGTTCCAGAGCGCTTTGGAACGCTCTCAGAGCGTCCCGGAACGCTCTGAGAAGGCCGCGGCACTCGAGACATCCTCCAGATCCACCCGATCTCAGAGATTCTCGATTCATCCAAACTTTGTTTTACCCTCGCCCTGGTTTCGAGATCGTGAAGTAACCATGTACTACGACATCTGAGTTTCGGCGCTCCGGCGCCCCCGCCGAGATCTTAGAGGGCCGCCCCACAGGGCGCACATCGGCGGCTGTCCTGTCCTGTCCTGTCCTCGCCCTGACCTCGTCTGAAAGGTCACCTTCGCCGACGGTGCCCACCCGCTGGCCGACTGGTTCGCTCGGGACGCGGTGGACATCGGGGGCGCTGCCCAGGCCGCCGCCCCGGCCCAGGGCGAAGCCGCGGCCGACAGCCGCCATCGCCGAGGCCTCAGGAGGGCTCCCAGACGCCCCCAGAGGCCTCCGCCTCCTACTCTTCCTCCTCCTCCCCTTCCCCTCCTCCTCCTCCACCCCCTCCTCCTCCTCCTCCTCCTCCTCCTCCTCCTCCTCCTCCTCCTCCTCCTCCTCCGCCTCTGTCTCAGCCTCCGCCTCCACCTCGGCCTCCGCCTGGCTCCCAAGGTGAGGCGGCGAGGTGTCCCCGTCTGTTCGGTGTGGCGCTGCGTGGCACCGCAATTCATCGGCGTGGGCGCGACGCATGGCCTGGGTCCTGGGCGCAGGGCGCAATGGGCAGGTGGGCGATCCAAGAGGACCATGGGGTAGCCCCAACAGGGCCACACGACAGGACACGCCGGCGACCCCGCGCCCTTTGAGGGGTAAGGCGCGTGGCGTCCCCGTGCTGGCCAGTGTTGAAAGCGCAGCACGCCAGTTGGACTGGCGAATTCCATGCTACGCAAGCAAGCGCAAATATGGGCTCGTGTTGGGTACGAGCTGGGGGAACTGATTTGGCAGGGGCGAAGCCAACCGAAAGGAGCTACAACACCAGCGGGCCCAGTCATAAAATAATGGGCTGATGATGGGGAAAGCGGAGCCCAGTCAAAAGCTGTATAGGAAGCCATGGCGGTGCACGCCGCGTGGGCCCGATCCCCGATCTGAAGCAATGGATGGGGGACGAACATGTTGAGGACGAAGGCGACCTGCGGCACCTCGTGGCGATGGCCTCCCGCCGCATCCCCCGCGCGCGTGCGGCTGGGCGCGGGGGCGCCCTCGCGGCGCAGAGGGAGGAGAAAGGAGGAGGATGAGGAGGAGGAGGAGGAGGAGGAGGAGGAGGAGGAGGAGGAGGAGGAGGAGGAGCAGCAGGAGCAGCAGGAGCAGCAGAGCAGCAGAAGCAGCAGGAGCAGGAGGAGGAGGAGGACGAGGAGAGGAGGAGGGAGAGGAGGAGGAAGAGGAGGAGGAGGAGGAGGAGGAGGAGGAGGAGGAGGTGAGGAGGATGAGAGGAGGAGGAGGAGGAGGAGCAGGAGGAGGAGGAGAGGAGAGGAGGAGGAGGAGGAGGAGGAGGAGGAGGAGGAGGAGGAGAGGAGGAGGAGGAGGAGGAGGAGGAGAGGAGGAGGAGGAGGAGGGGAGGGGAGGAGGAGAGGAGGGAGAGGAGGAGGGGAGGAGGAGGAGGAGGAGGAGAGGAGGAGGAGGAGAGGAGGAGGAGCAGGGGAGAGGGGAGGAGGGGCGGGGGACAAGTTAGGTGCGCTCGCGTCAACATCTGACATCCTACCCCTCCCTCCCATCCCTTACCATGGCGCTGATTTTCTCTATCCGCGGACGCGTGTCGTAGCGGACCTGTGGCTCCGCGTGCGTGTGCGTAGTGGGTGGTGGTGCGCGTGCGTGCGTGCGTGTGTGCGTGGTTGTGGTTGTTGTGGTGTATGTGTGTGTGTGTGTTTGTGTGTGTGTGTGCGCGCGTGTGCTGTGGTGTGACGTGGTGTGGCGTCTTGGTGGTTTGGTGATGGGCCAGGTGCGTACGTGCGTGATGGCGGTGGTGGTGGTGGTGGTGGTGGTGGTGGTGGCGGTGGTGGTGTGTGTGTGTGTGTGTGTCTGTGTGTGCGTGTGTGTGTGTGTGTGCGTGTGTATGTGTGTGTGTGTGTGTGTGCGTGCGTGCGTGCGTGCGTGCGTGCGTGCGTGCGTGTGTGTCTGTTTGCGCGCGCGTGTGATGTGGTGTGACGCGGTGTAGCGTAGTGGTGGTGGGTGAGGTAGTGCGGTGGTGGTGGCGGTGCGCGGTGGTGGTGCGCGTGCGTGCGTGCGTGCGTTGGTGGGTGGAAGTGGCGGTGGGTGTGCGTGCGGCGGGGCGGGGCGTGGTGCGGCGCGGTGGTGGCGGGCGGATGGGCGCGCGAGAAAGAGGCCCGCGCTGGGGCGAGAACGCCATCCTGAACGACGGAGGCAAAATACCGATCCGAAAATGAGGCCCACGCTGCAGCGGGAGCAGGATTCAGAACGATTCGGGAGCAGAAATGAGGCCGGCGCCTCAGCGAGAGCAGCATTTTGAAACAAAAAGCAGGCGAAAACCCAACTCCCGGGAATCCTGTGTGTAAAAAAACAATACGCGGGGGGGGGGTCGAATATTCCCAGCACGCCATCAGGGGAAGAGGGAGAGTAGTATTCATATTGAGTTATTGTGAAAGAGGAGGAGGAGGAGGAGGAGGAGGAGGAGGAGGAGGAGGAGGAGGAGGAGGAGGAGGAGGAGGGGGATGAGGAGGAGGGGGAGGAGGGGAGGGATCTGCGCCCGACCGGCCCGCGGCACCCAGGAGGACGAGGTCCTGGTTGGACTTGAGAGGCGCCGTGTCCCGTTGCAACGCCGAGCCCCCATGTTGGGGGAGCAGCAGCGTGGCGACGCCTGCGTGCTGGGTAGCATCCGGGGATGGCGAGGTTGGATTCGACACGATCGACATTCGAGCAGTGGCGAAGCGTCCTAGCTCTCATATGGGCCTACCAAATAATGTTCTAAGAACCTTTTGTGGTTTCCACGAAATGTTATCTGAGCCCATCTGGCTTGGACTGTCTTGTTTTATCACTTTGGCTTGATCTTGTAAAAAAACTTGGTTTCTGTTATGGGAACTTCTTCGGGTTCTAAGAACATGGCGTGGTAGGCCTATGGAAATGTCGGGACGGTCGGTCCCTGCTTAATTGGGGAAGCAGCAGAGTGGCGACACCTGCGTGCCAGGCAACACCCAGGGATGGCGAGGCTGGAGTCGACACGATGATCGGCATGGGTACGGAAGGCATGGGGACGAAGACTGACAGGAGCTCCTGCCCTTTTTTTGGAGCAAGGCTTGCTTTTTTAGGGCGCTATGCGTTCGAGAGACAGATGGCCGCCTGTCCAACAGCGGCCGCCGGTGGTGCTGGGACGACAGTTGCTGTCGGGCATCGTGCCCACTGTTGCGGTACCCGCTGCAGGCGTCCAGATGGATCATCCCCGGGCGCCGCGGCGGAGCGGAAACGGGTTCGCACGCACGCCTTGCGGCACCCGGAAGACGGCGAGGTCCATGCCGGATCTGCGTGAGGCGCCGCTCAGCGGGGCCTCTCTCCGCTGGAGGGCGGCAGCAACGGCACGCCTTGCATGGGCACGGAAAGATTGGGCACGATGCCCAACCTGATCATTTTGGATAGGGCTCGCTGTCCGCGCCGCCGCGGGCGCTGCTCTCGGCAGACAAGCCACCTGCCCAACGGCGGCCGCTGCCGATCTTGGACAGCATTGGTTGTTGGGCATTGTGCCCGTTTTTGTCCGTACCCATGTCGGGCGTCCAAACTGAGGCTGATTGGTCCAGGCACCCTTTCTCATTTTCTGGTCACCCTTTCGGTCCTCCCCCTCCCCCCTCGCTCCTCCTCGCTCCTCCTCAGCCACGTGCAGAGGAGGTTAGGGTGAGGGGGGAAGGCTTTTTAGAAACACCCCTGCTTCTTAGAAGGCTCAGGCCTCGTTTGTAGGTGTAAGGCGACTTGCTCGTGGCCTCTAGTTGCTGATGCACGTGTTCAGCATGCCGACTCCGAGAGGCCCACCACGATATTGGGCACCCTGAGGCTTGCAGGAACACAGTTTGGGAGCATCTCCTTGGGATTAAGCAATCATTCGCCCACTGCGGGTTCCATCAAGTCTTGCTTCTCCCCCCACCAGCACGTCCCCGTCCCTGGTGGTTTTCGGGCCAGCCTTCCGGCTTCGAGCGGCCGTTCGTGACGATTTGGGCACCCCCCAGAACGCCCTCTGGCAGGCGCAGCTGCTGGAGACGCCAAGAACATGCGAAAACGACCGAACATGCTGAACATGTCGAGACGGCGGCGGCGGCGGCGGTGGCGGCGGAGGTCGTGCCGCGCGGCAGCGCGCCAGGCCCACAGCTCAGTGGCGACCTCGTCCCCCTCGTCCCCCTCGTCTCCGAGCGCCCCCTCGCCCAGAGGCGCCGCACCCGTCGTGCCAGCCGCGTTTCCGCGGCGGTCGCCGCCGCGGGTCTCCGTTGCCGCCGTCGCAGCTGTCGCCGCCGCCGCCGCCGCGCGCCCAGAGGACGGGCATCCGTGGCCCCGGGAGAGGGAATAAATCGGAGGTGGACAGACCTCCTACCCTGACGCGTCGATTCGCGAATTTGCCGTTTTCGGTTCGCGAGAGGGCGTCGCGGCCGTCATTTTTGCGGGTCCAGGTCCGTCGGTTTCGGTTCCAGGCCGTTTTCACTAAGGGGAGGTTTACTAAAGGGAGGTTTGTCCACCGCCGAATAACCTACTCTTGGGGCCGCTACGGGGCCGTTTGGACACCTCCAGGGGGCTCGATGGGCTCTCTCACGGGCCTTTTAGGGACCCCCTGGGCCGTCCGAGGCGCCTCTCGGGCCGCACTGGGGCCATCCTGGGCTGTCTGCGGCCCTTCTTGGGCCGCCTTGGGAGCATCCTGTGGGCTGTCTTGGGCCCCTCTTGGGGCCCTCTTGGGCCGTGTTGGGCGCTTCTTGTGCCGTCCCAGTGCGGTCTGCGGCCGTCCTGGGGCCCTCTTCGCGGCCTCTTGGCCAGTCTGGGGTCGATCTTCATGGCCTTTAGGGCAGTCTCTGGGGGACTCTGGCAGTGTTTGCTTGTTGGGGCCCTCGCGGGGAGTCCTCTTGGAGCCCTCGGGTGGCGTCTGGGAGGCTGCGTCGGCTGTCCTGAAGCCATTTCAGGGCGACGGGGTGCCATCAGAGTTCGTCTGAGAACCTTTGGGGGCCATCTCGAACCCGTCGGAGGCCGTCCTGGATCATCTCTGAGGCCGTCGGGGTCGCCGGCGCTTCTGGCCCTACGGAGCTCCCGGGAGGAGGAGTTGGTCAAGCAGTGGCGAAGCGTCCTGGCGTGCCTATCGGCCCACCAAACAATGTTCTAAGAACTCTTTGTGGTCTGCACGAAATGTTCTTAGAACATTTCCGGTCGGGGCTGTCTTGTTTTAGCACATCGGGTTTATGTTCTAAGAACATTGCCTTTGTTCTTCGAACATTTTCAGGTTCTGGAACGGAGCCCCCCGACCAGGCTGGATGGGGCCAGGACGAGGACACATGGTTCATTTCTAAGTATTTGAAAGTTCTTTGACTTTTTGGGGGCAAGATCCTTTTCATTTCTAATTGTTCTATCCTGGGCTTCTTCCTGGCCGCTAGGGGGCCAGGAACAATTAGAAACGAACACAATTAGAAATGAGCACGATAAAACTGAACTACGTGGATAGACCCGTTCCGGAACGCTCTCAGAGCGGTCTGGAACGCTCTGAGAAGGCCGCGGCGCCCGTCTTCCAGAGCCGCCGGATCTCAGAATTCCTCGCTGTATCCACCGCCGAACGGATCCTTGTCCTGGCTTTGTCTTGTTGGGGCCTATCGGAACCCGCCTCTCGTCGGCGTCAGTGTGTGTCGCACCCCCAGGGGCGACACGCGCACCGAGAATTCTTCTAGTATATGCGTCGTGGCGGGCGCTTTTTGGCCACACCGCTCTGGAAACGGTATACTACAAAATGGTTGACTATATGTTCGGGTCGGACGCTCGCCTCCAAGGAGGACATAACGCATTCGTATGTCTCTGTGCGTCCCATCTCGGGGCGGTGCCCGCCCGCTGGCGACGCAGCTGTGCGCCCGTGTGGCCGTGGACGAATAGCAGCGCCGGGGGTCCCCGACCTGGCGAGGCCCCGGCTCCCTGCCCCGGCGGAGGTCTCTCGTCCCAGGCCGCTGCCGAGGACCCCGCGGGGCTCGACAACGGACCCCGTGCCCTGGCGTCAGAGGAGGAAAAGGTAATTACCCATACCGCTGCCCTTGCCTCGTTTTCCCTTTTTCGGGGACTCCTCGGAGGCTCTCGTCGCCACCGCTGGATTCGTCCCGACCTCCGGCGAGTTCCTGGCCCCCTGCTCCAGGGGAAGTCTTTCTTCGGGGGCCCGTTGGGACCCCGTGGGGCTCGAAACTTCGAGTAGTGGATCGACTACATACTTGATCTACCCCGAAAGTGATTTTCCCGCCGACAAATGCGTGTGATGTCCCGTAGATGCACGAACATGCTGCATGTCTCTTGTATATTTGGGAGTGAATCAATAATGTGGTTGATCCCATAATCGACCAACGAGCCCCGTGCCCTGGCATCCGCCGATATTGCTCTTTCAATCCGCGCATGTCCGCAGTGATCTCGTTTGTTCGATCCTCTTCGGTTTGTTCGATCCGATGGATCATTTGTTCCATCCGAGGTGTGGTGTCGCGACGCACTGACGTCACAACGTCGGAGAGCTCCCAGGCGTCCCGACCCCTCCCCTGGGGACGGCAAGCCGTCCCAGATTCATTCCTGATGGTCCTGCTCCCGAGGCCGAGATCGAGTGGCAACGCCTGGAGTGGAAAGAAGCCATCGTCGGAGATCCGGGTGGGAGGCCGAGCAGCCGAGGAGGGACGTCCGGACGGGAAAAGCAGCTCCCGCCGCCGGAGATGTGGGCCAGGCCGCCGCCGCCCCGAGGTGGCAGCCCCCTCGCAGGAGCTCCTCGGCAGCCCGCCCTCGGGCCGAGCGCCCCTCGGGGTCAGCTGGGGGGATGGGCTCTATAGGGTTAGTTCGGGCCTGCCCCTCCACAGGAGGGATATTCAAAAATAGTAAAAAGAATAGTGTGGGGACGATTTTTTTGGATGTCTTTGGACCATTCGGGGGTATGCTGTGAATATGCTGCATTTTTCGTCCAAAATCCCTCTGTAGGGGGACATGCCCGACAGAAGTCTAGGGGGGGATGCGTCGACCCCCGATCGCCCATGGATCGTCGATGGGGGCCCGATCGTCCACCCCGCCCGGGAACGAGCGTGTTCGCCATCGGGGGCCCCGTCGCAGATCCTCTGGCGATGTCTCGCCGCTTCCAGGTCGATGTGCCCCCTCCCCCGGAGCCAGACTCCCGCGGCACGCGGGTCCAAGTTCGGGCCTCGGATGGCCGCTCGGGGCGAACCAGGGGGAACCCCCAGAACGCTCCAGGCGAGGCTCAGTTTCTGGGGAGCATCCCGAGGCTGGAATGCAGCCGAGAGCTAACGAAAGTGTCCGAAGACCTCAAGCTCCAGATCTCGAACATTCGCCGAAGGTCCACGTCTTTCTCCCCGGAGCCTGTCCCCACAGACGGTTGCCCGTATGGCGCTGCAGAGATGGCGAGGGATGCGGCGCCGCTGGCCGGCCTGTTTCACGCCATCCCCACCTTGGAGAGAACGTGCACGGAGGGAGCCTTGGCAGGAGGATAGCGTGCACAGGAGGATGCCTCGCAGGAGGCTCACCTCACAGAGTTAGCGTGCACGGATGAGGCCTTGATTGGATGGATAGCGCATTTTCCCGAGATCGGTATTCCACGTTATTCTCGTGATGCCACAAGGACCGTAACATTCCCCCTCAAGCTTGCTTTCGGCACCCGGCAGTAGCCTGTGCTGCGCGGCGGCGGAGAGGTAGAAAGAACACGAGAAGCGAGCAAACGACAGCGAGGGAGAGGGGGAGGAGGAGGGGCAGGCAACCCTCTTCGGGCCTACGTCTTTCTGTTGCCTCTGCCGCCATTCCCTTTCCAGCTGCGCTCGCCCTGCGTAATTGGTCGCGCGCTATGCCCAGGTCGGCCTCGCACTGAGTTTGTCTGACAAGAACTCTGCAGCCACTGAGCGAAAGTCTGACCAGCGTCACACAAGGAGGAGGCAGCCAGGTCGCCTTAGCGCCCCCGCGCGAGCCCCCCGAAAGCCGGGCCCGCCGGAACCAGGCGCAGGCGCCTCGGCGCCCACCAGCGGCCCAGCGGTGCCGCGCGCGCCGCGCGCCCAGGCCCGCCCGGGCCCGTCCAGTCGGCGCCGCCGCGGCCGCAGCTGCGGGTCGGTTCGGTGATCCTCCGGACGTGTGGTAGCCCAATATGTGTGTGTGTGTGTTTATCCCGTTTAGCCCACCCAGTAGAGCATCACATCGCCTGCGTCGCATCGAAGGGCCTCGATGGACAAACACACGTTGGCGCTAGCACACGTTCTGAGGATCATCGATCGGTGCAACCGAAGTGGGTGCGGAAAGGATGGGTACAGTCAACCCGCACAGCAAGGATGACCGACCTTCAGAGGCTACCCTTGCACCCTTCCTTGGCCGCCTTGGCCGTCCGCGCTCCACTCGCAAAGTGTCGACGGGGCCTTCCCAGGTCCTACATCCTCATCGCGCGTCCTCCTCATATGTACGGGCTGACTGTATATCGACAACGTGTCCTGCTCAGCTTGCGCCGGGCTCGGGGTGGGTGCCGCCGCGGACGCTGTCCGTTTGAGCCAGGAGCCCGCCTGCCCTGCAGCAGCGGCCGCCGGTCGTTTTTTTTTTTTTTTGTTCCGCCGCCGGTCGGTTTTGGACGGCATTGGTTGGTGGGCACCGCACCCCTCTTTCCCACACCCGCTGCGGGTGTCCGCAGCTGCGGGGCGCTGGCTGGCGGGAGGGTTTCGGCCGGGTCGGCCCAGACATCTGGCGCCTCGAGGAAGTCGAGACCGGAGGTCTCTCGTCGTTGCGGGCCCCTCGGGGCTTGCTGGGCTTCGAGACTGTCAGCAGACGCCTCGGGATGAGCCACTAGTCCCAGGTCGAGGGGTGCTACAGAGGTGCCCCGGGGCCCAAGGTGCCCCCCCAGCTTTCCGCTCCATGTTGGAGCCTCTGGGGCCTCTGGGCCCCTGGAGGGGTGCTCTGGAGGCCGCGGGGGCCTCCTTGGGAGCCCAGGGGGCACGCTGGGCCAGGGGCCCCTCTGGCAGCACCCGTCCAGGGAAGTGGTCGGGGGGTCGGGCTGCCCGTGTCTGGGATGGGAAAGGCGCCGGATGTTTGGGGAGCGCCACGTCGAGAGGCCCAGATCTCGGGGGAGGAGAAGAGTTGCCGATGCCGTTGCTTGTCCTGGAGAGTCCTCGCCCCCACGGCTGGATCCAGATCTCGCAGGAGGAGGAGAAATGCGGATGCCGCAGCTTGCACTGGAGGATCTTCGTCCCCACGGCTGGATGCTCCTTCAGATGCTGGCCAGAGCGCTCCCCATGTCTCGGGCCTCTCCTGCGGCCCAGGAGAGGCCCGGGGAGGATCGGTCCCCAGACCCCCTCTAAAGTCGTGCAGAAATCAAGGCGTTAGTGTTCTTCCGGTGTGTCTGGGTCCCAGGACCGTCAAAAACAATGCGGGATGAAAAGCCGACCCCTAAGGGGTCCGAACCTCAAGGGGTCCACGTTGCGGGAACATCGCGACACGCAGTCGGGGTCTGGATATGGAGACTCAGATCGAATATCCGACGCCCTGCTTTGCAAAGTCCCGGCATGGTTTCTCCATCTCGGCCTTGCTGGGGCCCGGTCCTGGGCCTCGTGACCATCAAGCATGGAGCCATGACGAACAGCTAGTCCTTGGAGAACAGTTTCAGACCTCTGTCGCAAGCCTAGAGGTTGACACCAGCACCAAGATCGGCGGCGTGCTTCCACCGAGGGAAGACGATCCCGATCTCGGTGATGGTGGTAATATTCTGGCATTCTGGCTTCCGAGGTGACCGAAATCTTCCCACCAACACCGAAATCTGGGATCATCTTCCCCATGTGGAGGCACCCCCCTGTGCTGGCGTTGGTGCCAATGTCCAGGCCTCCACGCCACGAAACCACATCCCAACGTCGCGGGGGCCCGGGCCAAGAGACCACGGCGGCCCTCCCCTGCTGCCTGTCGCTCCGGGGCCTCACGGGGGCATCTCGTCGCCGCGGCCGGATCCGCCCTGGCCCGAAACATAGGCCAGGACGATTGAAATTGAGGCGTAAAGAATAAGTAGGAGTAAGAACCGGCTGTTCACTTCGAACAGGTGAAGATGTCAAGAATAAGTAGGATATAAGTAGGTATAAGTAGAAACATAGGCCCTTCATTTCGAACAGGACTCGCTGCCAGTGTCGCAGCGGACATGGTCCATTGGACAGATGGCCGCCTGCCCAGCAGCGGCCGCTGTCGGTTTGGGACAGCATTTGGTGTTGGGCGTTGTGCCCCTTTTTTTTGTCCGTGCCCACCTCGGGCGTTGAAGAGGAGGCCCCCACCCCCTCCGGGCCGGGTGGGAGCGCCGCCGCTGTCTCGACCGGCACTCTCGCGTCGTGAACACGTCATGACATGGCGAGGGGGAGGGGGTGAGCGGGTGGGGGGCAGGTTGCGGTCTCCTGGAGACCCTCGGCGGGCCCCAAGACCATCGACAAGCGATTCAGGATGAGCAACCGGCCGCAGGCGGGGATCAAAGGTGCGAAACATTCACGACGTCGGGGGTTTGGGTGGCGAGTTGGAAATGGTTGAGGCTGGCTTTTGGACGACGGTACGGGAGACTTGGCAGAGTATGGAGGACAAGAAGGACGGGGCGGTTGTGGGTTTGGAGCTGCAGGAGGGGTTACCCGCCCATTGCACCCGGTCGGCTTCTTTTGTTGATCGCATGTCCAGCGTGTTCCAGAGGTGCAGCGAGACACATTCTTTCTCGCTCATTCCATTTTCTCCATCTCCATCTTCATCCCCATCTCCATCTCCATCTCCATCTCCATCTCACTCCCTCCTCCGTCTTGTCCTTCCTCCCTCATCCCCTCCTCCTTCGCCCTCTCCTCTCTTCTTCCCCTTCCCTACTCCGCCGTCTCACCCCTCCCCCCCTTCCTCCCTTCCCCCTCCTTCCTTCCCCTTCCCCTTCTCGCTCCTCCCCCCCCCCGCCCTCCCTCCCTCCTCCACCTGCTCCCTCCCCCCTTCGTCGGCCTCGCTGGAAGAGCTCGCCCGGGCGAGGCTGAAGCCGCGAGGGCGGCAGTGGGCCGCCCCCGGCTGCCGAGCACGCGCGCGCCTCGCGCCGCGCGCGCCGCCCGACGCCTGGCGCCATGGAGCCCGCCGCGGCGCCCGCAGAGCAGGCGGCCGAGGAGCCCTCCACCTCTCGGGACAGGGAAAGGGGGGGTCACGAAATCTGATGCGAGGGGCCCATTCCTCGATGCATGGGCGCCTCCCGGCGCCGGGAGGCGCCGGGAGAATCAGCTACGTGAGCTGATTCTCCCCCCCCCCCCATTTGCTATCCCCCCCTTTTCGCCTGGCCCGAACCTCGGGGTCAGCGGTCTCGCTCGCCGTCTGCGAGCGAGGGGCGGCGGCGGCGGTGCCGCCGCCGCCGGTGGTGCCGCCGCGGCCGCCGTCGCCTCGGCCACGCGCAGAGGGGCGTTCAGGGGGAGGGGGAAGGCTTCTCAGGAGCACCCCTGCTTCTTTTAAGAGCGGGGGGCCGTGCCCGCAGATGTAAGCCCCGCGCCCTTTCAGAAGCAGCCTCCTTTCCAGAAGCCTCCCCCCTCGCCCCACCCCCTTGTGCGCGCCGCCAATCGCCGCCGTTGCCGAGGTCGCCGCCGTCGTTGTCGCGTCGGGGTCGTGTGGTGGTCCCCGTCCCCGCGCGCGCCTCTGCTGCCGCGGGGCCCTCGACGCGACTGTATAGCAGAGAAGAAGTGCGATGGGGCCTCGTCCGCGGCGCCGTTCTTTCAGCGCGCGGTCGCGAGGATGGGCCTGTTGAGCCAGTCAGCCGTGGAGGGGTGAAGATAGGCAGTCCAGGAGCTAGCATCGTTGGCTGGCGGGCGCCTCCCCCCTCCTCCTCCTCCCTGTCCTCCTCGCTCGCCTCCTCGCCCGAACTGCCGTCGGACAAGGCCCAGGCCTCGCACTGAGGGTAGTTGGGACTGATGAAAGGGGACAATGCTCTGCTACTGATCGCCGAAGTGCCTTCAGTTGCAGTGCCGATCTGGCTCTGGCTCGCCTATGCGCCTCCAGTTCTAACTTGTTCAAATACGTCGTTCCGTCTCCCTGCCTCCCTCCTTTTCGTCGCCCTCATCCGTATTGCCTTTCTGGCTGGAGGAGGTGGGATGGAGATCAATGGACGGTGGAGGTGGGGGAACGCAGCGAGGAGGAGTAGGCGGCGGGGGGAGGAGAGAGAAAGAAGGAATGAGGAGGGTGGATAATAATACAGATACTTATGATTTGGAGGAGAAGTTGGGGAAGCGGGTGTTCTTGGCGGACAAGGAGGAGCCAGTGTGGGGCTGGGGGCTTAGACGAAGTAGAGCGGGAAAGCGAAGTGATTTGTATATGATTTTTGCATCGGTACGTGTTCAAGATGGCATTGTCCGGCAGTCGACATGCATGTTTAGAATGCGGAGTGTAATCGCATACGTCGGAAGTTCCGGTGAGTAATTTGACAGCAAGAGGTAGGGTCAGTGGCCCACGCTGCGTATTTAGAACATACCAATGGTACCAAGTAACCTGGACACCTCCAGGGATTCACCGCCGATCCCTGCCTGTTGGAGACGCCTGTGTGGTGACACGTTGGCCGAGAGTCCAGCCTCCTGTGAAGTCTTGAGGCCATCCTGGGTGGGCTTGGGTCCATTCTGTGCCCTCTTCGATGCATCTTGCGCCTGACGGGAGGCCACGCAGGCTATTCTGGTCGACTAGTTGGAGAGGCATTTCGGTCGGTTCTGCCGACTCTGAATGGGTGATCAGGACGGAGGCCGCAGGACTGCCGCGGACTGTTTGAGGCTTGTTGGGATCTCTTGGGAGGCCTCTCGGGGGCCTCTCGGAAGCATGTTTTAAGTCTCTTGGGTCCAGATGCGTAAATCTGTCAAACACCAAGTGTAAGTATATCTTGGAGCATCTTCAGGGCATCCTGGGCCGACTTGGAGCGCTATTTGGCAATTTGAGGCCCCTCTTGGATTAGCTCGGGCCTGAATTGGCGAAATAAGGCCGAACTTGCTCGAAGGCGACCTGGAGCGCGAAGGGGAGGGGGACCGTATTCTGACCCCGGACCCTCCCAGGGACACCCCCCCTGGGACCCCCTCCAGGACCCCCCCCCCATCCCCCAGGTGAGGAAGGGATCAAGGGAAGGAGATCCCCTTCGACTCGATTACGACCTGGCTCGATTTTATTTCGAATTGACGAACGAGCCAAACAGGGCCTCCTTCCGAGATGATTGCTGTCAGTGGAAAGCCGAGTCGCACGAAAGGAGAGGTCGTTTCCTTGGGCCATTCCGGGACGACCGGCCCAGCTTTGCTGTGGCACACACGCCGACGCGGCCCGCGGATTCCCAAGGTCTGGTGAGGGGGCTGGCGGGCCCGAGGGCCCTGGTGTGCGCCCCGCTTGCCGGAGGCCTCCGCGCCCACGAGCTCGCGCCCTCGCTTCGCCCCCCCACCTTCCTCTCTCTCTCTCTCTCTCTCTCTCTCTCTCGGGGGCAGAAAAGAGGGGGGTGATGACTAGGGGGGGGTGGATATCATGGCGTGGGCCATGATATTTCCCCAGATTGCATGGCGCCTCTTCTTATTTCATGACGTTCCTGGCCCCCCCGCTGAGCCGCGCACATGCCGCCGGTCATGATTTGCACCCCCCCTCTTGGACCCCCCCCCTCCTCTCTCTCTCTCTCTCTCTCCTTCTTCCGCTCCCTCCTCTTCTCGGCGCGCTGTTGGGTGTTTTGTTTGCCGCAGGGCTGCCGTCGGTCCCGTCCCATGCTCGCCTCGCTGCGGGCCTGACTGCTCTGCCGTCCCGCCCCCGTCGCGTGATCGGCTCCCCTCTCGGCCTGTTCCTTCTGCCCGCCGTGCTTCTCTCTTCCATGGCGTGCGCTCTCGTCGTGGAGCCGCTCCCTCCCTGGGCGCTGCTGGGCGTGCGACCTTCGCTGCTCTGCCTGTCAGCCCTCCCTTCACTCCCTCGTTCTCCTGCTTCTCCCCCTTGCCCTTGCCCCCCTTCCACTCCTCCACTTTCTCCTACTCTTCCTCGGCAGTCTTCTTCTCCTGTTCGTGCTGAGTCCCCAGGGCGCCCTGAGGACTGCCAGGTCCCCTGAGGCGTTCAGGGCAACGCATTCCTCTACAGCTTCTCGAGGATATTGTACCTCTTCCATCTTACCACACGTATCGAACGGGTTGGGTATGGCTCTTGAATGCCGCTTGGGCCCCCCCTATGGGGGGTACTCTTGGGGCCTCTTGAAGGACTTTTGGTAGCCTTTTGGAGACCTCTGGGAGGTCTTGGACCTCTTGCGGGTCCCTTTCTGAGTACACCTGGGGGGTTTTTTGGGGGCCAGCTCGCGGTCTCGGGGAACTCCTTAGTAGGAAGGGCTCGAACTGTGAGGTCATTCAGGCGATCGCAAACACGGACCAAGGGGGCGTGGATTCGACGGGCCCCGTTTTCATGAGAAATCGCGGATTTCCGCCGCCGAGCGAGGCGGCACCGGCCGCATTTTGGGGAGGGCACCTCCCCCGATCCATGGATTTGGCGACCGCGCGCCAAATCCATGGATAGCTAATCTTGTGGAGATCGATGAGTGGAGAGGAAGCGTGCTGCCAAATAATTTCCAGATGTCTTGAAGATGTGTCAAACATGTCTTGAAAATGTTAAAACCACGTTTGAACATCTGTAGAACAAACTTTTGCACATTTTAAGCGCATCCGTAATTCAATGGCAGGATTGTTAGAGTTCCCAATGTCATGGCAACCACAACGCTAATCCACGTTCGCGCGTCCCCGAGAGCTGTGAGCTCATGCCCCCCCCCCCAGCTGCCGCGGGCTCGGCACGGCCCTGGGCGCCCCGCGCCCGGGTGGCGGCGCGGGGCCCTGCGTGGCCCAACGGTGCAAGATCGCGCTCGCGCACGTGCCGTGCACCCATTTTTTGGAGGTGGCGCGGGGAGGAGGCGGAGGAGGAGGAGGAGGCGGAGGAGGAGGAGGAGGCGGAGGAGGAGGAGGAGGAGGAGGAGGCGGAGGAGGAGGCGGAGGAGGAGGAGGAGGAGGCGGAGGAGGAGGAGGAGGAGGAGGGGGGGGGTGGCGTCGCGGCCACGCGCGCTGCGGCGCGGCCTAGGCACATGCCGTGCACCCCGAGACAGTGCGCGCACGCGCGCACGCCACACGCCGCACCCGGCGCTCGCGGCCCGGCCCCCCTGGGCAGGACGACCCGATTGGCGCCCCGATGAGCGCGGCGCTCAGCTCGCCCGCGGGGCCGAGGGAGGTCGGGGCTCGGATGGGGCGCCCCGGGCCTGGGGCCGATCCTGGGCCCAGGATCGGTGCACATGCCGCCCTCGCCAAGCAGCCAGGAGGGCTCGCATGCCCATGCTGGGCCCGGCCAGGATCGAGGCGGTGGCCAGCCCGAGCGGCTGCGCGCAGACCCGAGAAGACTGCCCCGACGTGCGGTGGGCCGACGTTTTCCACACGGGGCCCTGGGAGGCCTCGACCCCTTGGCCCCCAGGGCCGCTTCTCGACCCCTTAGCCCCCCTTGGACGGCCCCCCCGGGGGGCCCGGCGAGGGGGCCCCCGGGGGCGCCGAGAGAGGCCGAAATGAAGTCGGGCCTGTCGCTCTCTGCAGGGAGAGTGTTCCAAAAAGTGGTCAAAGCATAGTCTGGGGACGATTTGCTTCTGAGCCCTTGCGGTGCATTTGTTTGGACTATCTATACATATACATATATGTGTATATATATGTATGTAGATACATGTACGCGTGTATGTATACATGTATGTATGGATGGATGTATGAATGAATGAATGAATGAATGAATATACGTATGCATGTTTGTATGTATGTACGTAGGTATGTATGTATGTATGCATGTATGTCTGTATCTATGCATGCATGCATGCATGCGTGCGTGCGTGCGTGCATGTATGTATGTATGTATGTATGTATGTATGTATGTATGTATGTATGTATGTATGTATGTATGTATGTATGTATGTATGTATGTATGTATGTATGTATGTATGTATGTATGTATGTATGTATGTATGTATGTATGTATATATGGTAGTTTTCACAACTGAGGGCTGAGCAGAGGCAACAGGTCGGACGTACTCATATATGGCTCAAAGTTTTCGGGGGCGCGCCTCTTCGCCCTTTCCTCCGCCGCGGATGCTCGGCGCTGTCCGCCTCGCCGCGCCGTGGCTGGGGCAGATCGGCGCGGCCTGGTTGGCGCGGCCGCCGGCGTGTCCATCCTGCCCGGCGTGCCCAGCGGTCGACGCCCGCTGCGAGCCGCGCTGCGGGACCTGCCCGACCTGCCCGGCCTGCCCGGCCTGCCCGGTGCTGACCTGCGGCACCTCGCCGGAGCTGTCGTGCCCGGCGTGCCCAGTGGCCCCGCACGCGGCGGCCGAACCGGTGGCAGCTGGGCCCTGCCCCTCGCCTGCCTCGGCAGAGTGCCGAGGCTTCGGGGCCGGGTTCGCCCTTGGCCTGCTCGCCGGCGCGCTGCTGGCGGTGGTGGCGGCGGTGGCTCTGCAGGCGCTGCGGCGACTCGCGGGCTGCGCCAGTGCGTGGCTGCGCTCGGGGCGTGACCTCGAGATCGACGACCTGGGGGAGGAGGCCCGCGCACAGGTGAAGGTGCTGCGCCAGCGTGCCCTCGCTGCCCAGTGATGGCGGCGCCTGGTCCTCCAGCCCACTGCTCGCTCGCCGCCGCGGGCGTCACCGTCGGGGACTTCCTCGGCATCCAATATACAACGTTGGTGGGAGGGCGCTCGTGCACGAGCGCGTCGTGGTCGCCCTGGACCCCGGCACCCCTGGCACTGCGGCGATCGTCACGGTCGACGGCGAAGAGTACGACGAGCAGGTGGTCGGCAACGCGGACGTGCTCCACTGGGACCTGCTGCCCGGCGGGGCGCCTGGCGGGGTCTTCCCGTGGGCGCCGGCGGCGAGGTACTACCGCTTCAGGGCGATCCCCACGGTCGCGGCGCTCACCGCTGCCGCCGGCCGCGCCTGCGCCCGCCTGGGCCTCGGGCGCCCGCTGGCCCCGTGGTGCCCAACGTCGCCGGGCGTGCCCCCGCTGTGGCAGCCCCTGCGGCGGCGCCTGCGGGCGCCCTAGCGCTGCCGGCGGGCGGTGCGCCAGGCCCGGAGGGCGGCGGGGTGGCCGCGCTCGTGGCCGCGCTCGGAGGTCCTGCGGGCGGCGCTGCTGGTGGCGCGCTCGCCCCGGCGACAGCTCCAGTCGCTGCTGCAGCCGCACCGGCGGCTCTTGTCGCAGGGGTGGCCCCCGTGCCGCCTGCTGGGCTCGGCATGCTGGCCCCTGGGCCAGCCGGGCCTGCCGTGGCCGCCGCCCCCGGCGTCGCGCCGCCTGCTGCAGTGCCAGCGCCCGCGGGCGTGCCGGCTGGCGGCGCCCAGGCCGGCCCTGGCGGCGACGCCCGCATCTTCGCCGTCGTGAGGGACTTGCGAGGAGTGCGGCGTGCCGACTTCCGGGTCATGGTCTCCCAGATGGTCGAGTTCCCCTGGCCTGACTGGCCAGTGCGCGGACCGCGCACGCTGCTGTGGGTGCTGCAGCACATGGCTCAGAGGTCGGGGACCCCGACGGCCCACCACCAGCGGTGGCTAGCTGAGACGGGGCTCGACCCTGAGTCGCCGGGGGTGGACATCCACCAGATGGGGTGCATGGTGCTGGAGTCGGCAGTGACCTACGACCAGGAGCACGCCACGAACCTGGCCCACCTCGAGCTCGTGGCCCGTTCAGTGCAGGTGCAGGAGGAGCGCTACCGCCAGCTGGTCACCCCGGGTGATGCCGGCGCGGCGGACCGCGCGGTCATGATGGGGTCGCAGGAGCTCGACGGGGCGGCGTGCGTCTGCCCGGACCTGCGCGACCACCTCGCGCAAGAGCTGCAGCGGGAGATGGCGGTGGCGAAGTAGAGGCGCAAGGCGCGAGAGGAGCGCGCCCTCGCCGGGGGCGTGCCCGGCCAGCCTGGTGCAGGGCGCGGGAGGGGGAGGCGCGGCGGCGGCCGCAGCGGCCGTGGCGGCGGGCCCAACGCCGCAGGGGGCGATGGTTGACTCGCCCCGGGGCGGATGGCCTGGCCAGCCGCCGCCCCCGCCCCCCTTGGCCCCCGCAGAGCCCGCCAACAGCGTGGGCTTCTCCCCTGGCGGCGCAGGGCGCCGGCGGCAGGACGATGACCGGCAGCGGGGCATCTTTCCGCTACCGCCGCTGGCTGCTGCTGACGTGGCGCCCCGCGCGTCAGGGATTCGGCGGCGGGCGCGGGCCGGCCATGCCCTCGCGCACGCGCTGGACCGTGCCAATGCTGCCGTGCATGCTCTGAATGACCTCTACGGCGACCAGTCCTCGCCCGCGCCGACGCCGTCTGCCGGGCAGCGCTGCGCCGCCGCCCACATTTGGGACTCGGTCGCTGCTCTGGGCCCTAAGCCACCTGAGTATCGTGACGACGTCTCCGACAACAACGGGGCCCTGCGGGAGCTCCTTGCTGGGTCCGCGCTGTACCCTGGCGGCGGTTGGCCCACCACTCCTTACGTGCCAGACCTTGTCTCCTGGCCTGATGTGTCGCAGCCGCCCGCTCCGCTCCTTGGGCTGCTGGGCGAGCGTGACTCAGCCGCGCTGCGGGAGTGGAGGTGCCAAATGCTCCGCGAGCCCGAGGAGGCGCGGCATCTGCGGGCGGAGGCCTGCCCGCGCGGCCCGTGCAAGGACCCTGCGCTGCTGCGCTCGCTGCCCGACTGCGCCGCCTTCCTCAGCGCCATGATGGAGCGCAGCATGCTGACGTTTGCCCCGGCGCGAGGGCGCCGAGGCAACATGGGGATTTTCTTCGTGCCAAAGAAGAGTGGTCGTCTGAGGGTTATCTTCGACACGCGGCTCGCCAACTGCGCGTTCGTCGATGCGCCTCGCACCCAGCTGCCGTCGGCGCCCGCCTGGGGGCGGCTCGAGGCGGGCGACGCGCGGGTCTCCATCGCCTCGGCGGACCTGGACGTGGCCTTCTACCACATGCGGGTCCCGGACGGGATGGAGGAGTTCTTCGTGATGCCGCCCATCCCCGCCAGGCATCTCGCTCCGTACGGGGTCGCCGTGGGCGGGGTGGAGGGCGAGTCGCTCCTGCTGCCCCAGGTGGTGGCGCTGCCGATGGCTTCAGCGGGGCCTCGCACCTCTGCCAGACGGTGCTGGAGGCATCGCTGGGCCGCGCTGGTTTCCCTCAGAGTGACCTCATCCTTGACGGCCGCTGCGGCTGCCAGCTCACGAGCGACCTGGACTCGGTCGCGGGCGCCGGCTACGTGGACAACTACTTCGTCCTCGGCGGCTCTCCAAAGACTGTGAGCGAGCGGCTGCAGGCCATCACCGACGACCTGACGCGCCACGGGCTCACCGTGCACGAGCTCGAGGCGCCCTCCCAGGATCGCGACTTTCTGGGGCCATCGCTGCGCGAGGGGCGCTGGCCGAGCCTCAAGACGCGCAACATCTGGCGGCTGCGCGCGGCCATTCGCGCCACGCTCAGGAGGCAGGTCATCAGCGGCTTCCTGCTGCGCGTTCTGACCGGCCACATCACCTGGGCGCTGCTGCTGCGCAGAGAGTTGCTGTGCATCCTCGGGGCCACCTACGCCGACGTCGAGGCCGCTGGGCCAGTCGCGTCGCCGCCTTGGCCCGCGGTCCGTCATGAGCTCCAGCTAGTCCACGACCTGCTGCCGCACTGTACTGTTGACCTTGGTGCTCCGTGGCACGGGCGAGTTGCTTGCGCGGACGCCTCGCCATTTGGGCTGGGCGTCGTTGCTCGTCGCGCCCCAAAGGACCGGGTGGGCACCATTGGGAGAGTCACTGAAAAGTGGAGGTACAAGGTCGAGGGAGGTGCGCAGGCAAGGCGTAGGACGATCGGGATCAACGGTGATAACTCGTCCGAGCAGTTCGGGGGCCTCGAGGGCGACTTCGGGGCGAGTACTCAGCTCGTCAGGGATGGCATCACCGAGGGCCTGCCGTTCGAGGGCGTCTTGGGTGAGGCCTCTGAGGGCCTGGTCGAGCTGCAGCTCCCGAGGGCTCCTGGGGACACCTACAAGTCGATCATGGACATGAGGCCCGTCGTGGACTTCGACGAGGCCCCGTCCCACTTCATCAGTGGGCCCGCCTGGGGCTCCGTCGCCGCCGTGTACATCGAGGGGAGGGCCAACATCTTGGCTCTGGAGGGGGAAGCGCTCGTTCTTGGGTATCGGCACCTCCTGAGGTCCACATCCGCGTTCGGGTCTCGGTTCCTCATCCTCTCCGACAACCTGCCGCTCGTCTTGTCCGTCGGTAAGGGTCGGGCCCGCAGTGAACACCTCCAGAGCACGCTTCGCAAGATCTGCGCGCTCTCCGTGGCCGCTGGCTCAACCCTGGCAGTGAGGTGGATACCTTCTGAGGCCAACCCCTCCGACGCGCTCAGCCGCGGGCGCGCTGGCTGGTTCGCTGGCAGTCGGCCGGCGCCGCAGCCCTCTGGAGGCGGGCTGCTCGCCCACGCGGCGGCTTGTGCTGGTGCTGGCACTGGCCCAGGCTGCAGCAGCGGCTCGCCGCTCGGCCGTCCCGGCGCCCTGGCGCTCCGGGCCGAGCGCGCGGCCCTTGCGCGGGCGCTGGCGGCGGAGACGACGGCGGTGGCGGGGCTGTCGCTGCTCGAGCGGCTGGCGGCGAGGAGCTCGACGGCTCGTCTCTACCGGGGGGCCCTCACCAGCTTCGTCGACTTCTGTGTCGAGCGCCGCCTGGACTGGGCGACGCACTCGGGCCTGGGCGAGGCGCTGGTGCTGTACATGGACAGCGAGTTCCTCCCCGGCGGCGGCGGCAACCAGGGGGACGTCCTCTTGGCGGCGGTGGCGCACTTCCTCGGACCTCGCTTCTACGGCCGAGGGCTCACCGCGCGGCTGCGGCGTGGGCGCGGCGCGCGCCTGCGCGCACCCGGCTGCCACTGCCGCGTCGCGTGGTGTTCGCCTTGGCGGGCCTCCTGGTCCACGACGAGTTTCTACGGCATCCTCGTCATGTTCGCCTCGTACCTCAGGCCTGGCGAGGCGGCGAAGCTGCGCGGGCGGCATCTGACGTCGCCGTCGGTGGCGGCGGGCGCCGGCTACCAGTTCTTCGGGCTGCTCCTGCACGAGAGTGGACAGGAGCCAGGCAAGACGGGCGTGAACGACGAGAGCATCCTCTTTGATCGCGAGGCTTGGCTCAACCCGCTGCTTCACGCTCTGAGGCAGTCCACGGCGCCGTCGGAGCCGCGGTGGGGCCAGGAGGTGGGCCGACTGGGCGCGCCGTTCGCTCGGGAAACCAAGCTCTTGGACGAGCTCGCCTGGATCCCGCCCAAGGTGATGGAGCTCGGGGCCTTCGTCGGGAGCAGCCTGGAGGCGCTGGTCGGCGGCTGCATGCCCAGCTGGCTAGCGACTGGCCGCGTCCCGGCCGCCGCCGCGTCGCTCCTCCGCCCGCTGCCTCAGGGAAGGCAGCCGGCCGCCGGCGGCCGCCCGCGCAGGCGGCCCGCGGCCCAGGCGGCGACGGCGGCTGCCCGCCGACGGACGCGGTGAAGCGGCACCTGCAGCGGCAGCATCGCCGCGCTGCCGCGCCAGGCCGGGCCCTCAGGCGCCGCCCCGTGCTGGAGCTCTTCTGCGGAGCCGGCAGGATCGCCGAGGCGCTGCTTGCCCGCGGCTTCGCCGCATTTGGGCTCGACTGGCAGCGCAGCCCACTGGAGGATCATGTGCGGCCTGCCTTCATCGCCACAGTCGTCGGCTGGATCCGGTTGCGCGCAGTGGGTGCTGTCTGGCTGGGCACCCCCTGCGCCAGCTGGACGCGAGCCCTGCGGCGCCCGCTCAGGTCGGACCGCTACCCGTTCGGGCTGCCCGACCTCTCATCGTCCGAGCAGGCTCGCGCCGCCGCGGGCAATGCCACGCTGCGCATGACAGTGGCCATAATTCGTGAGTGCATCTTTGCCCGTGTGCCCGTCTTCCTCGAGAATCCACAGACCTCGCAGATCTGGTCGTGCCTTCCCCTCGCTCGCTTGTGTCGCCGGCCGTCTTGCCAAAAGTCTGTTCTGCATCAGTGTCAGTGCGGCGCCGATTTCAAGAAAGCCACGACCATCATGTCTTGGGGGGCGGGCGCCATGCACCCTTTACAGCTTGTCTGCTATGGAAAAAGAGGCATTTGCAGTCGCTCGGGCAATCGCCATGTAATTCTGAAGGGCAACGATGGGCAAGGGCGGAAGCGCACTGCTGTCGCCGCCGTGTATCCTCGTCTCCTCGCCCAGGCCGCTTCGCGCTGTATCGTCGAAGCGTTGCACATTCAGCCTGGTCTCGCCCTCCAGTCTCTTGCCATGAGATAGCCCACATTGCCTGCTCTCCGAAAAGAGTTTCTTCTTTATTTATACGGCCTTCGGCCAGTTGAACCTTCGGGATCGGGTGAGGGTCGCGCAGGTGGTCCTCTCGAGCGCTGTCGCGCTTCTCGTCCGCTTTGTCTCTGCTGCTCTCGCGCTTCTAGCTCAGTCAACGCCTGGCCCTGGTCTGTCCCAGATGGAAAAGGTGCCTGGCCCGGGAGCCGAAGCGAGCTGGTAGTTTTCACAACTGAGGGCTGAGCAGAGGCAACAGGTCGGACGTACTCATATATGGCTCAGAATTTTCCCCGTGGCCATCCCGACACGCCTTCTCGCCACTATTGTCGGGTGAGGGTCGCGCAGGTGGTCCTCTCGAGCGCTGTCGCGCTCCTCGTCCGCTTTGTCTCTGCTGCTTTCGCGCTTCTAGCTCAGTCAACGCCTGGCCCTGTGCTGTCCCAGATGGAAAAGGTGCCTGGCCCGGGAGCCGAAGCGGGCTGAATGTATGTATGAATGTATGTATGTATATATGTATGTGTGTAATGATGTATGTATGTATGTACGCATGTATATGTATGCATGTATATGTATGCATGTATGTATGGATGTATGTATGTATGTGTGTATGTATGTATGTATGTATGCATGCATGTATGTATGTATGTGTGTATGTGTGTATGTATGTATGTATGTATGTATGTATGTACATGTGAATGTATATGCAGATGTAGATGTACATGTAGATCTAGATATCGATGTATATGTATATGTTTATGTATATGTATATGTATACACATGTTGCAGATATTCGAGGGGTTTCGAGCGAGGATAATGAGTATTGCGTGCATGCACGTTTGTATGTTTGACTGAAGCCATTTTGTGATCAAGATCGCCCAGGCCTGAGGTGAAAAGGATCAGACCTCCACCTAGCATAAAGCTTAACATGGTAGCGTGGGCGTGTTCAGTCGCAGCCAGAGCTGCGCGATGGAGGCAGCTTTGCAAGTGCTGCAGCGGATTGTTGGAGAGCAGGCGGCCCAGGTCCAGAGGCTGACCGAGAGACCAGAATCCCAAGCTGAGGACCGACGGCTTGAGAGCATAGTCGACGCGAAGATCCTGAGCAGGATAGGAGTCTTCTCAGGCGCAGACGAAGAATGGAGGCAGTGGTGTTTCGTGTTCGAGTCAACGGCAGGGCTCGTCGACCTAGAGCAGATCATGATTCACTGCGAGAACACGGGCGAGACGGAGCTAGGCTGGGCAACTCAATCGGAGATAATCCAATTGAGGATGAAGGTGCTGTATCACTTGCTGATCGCCACGACGAGAGGCAAGGCCCTCACGATCCCCCAGATGGTGCCAAAGAACAACGGTGCCATAGGTTGGAAGAGGCTCAAGGATGAGTATGAGCCGAAGTCTGGCGGAAGACTTACGGCGATGCTGATGGGCGTGCTCACGCCAGAGTGGGAGACGGCCATCAGGGGCGGCATCCGCATGTGGGAGGCTGCCTGGAAGGAGCGGGAGAAGAGCGTCTCACTCTACGAAGCTCATTCCTTGGAGAAGGTCACTGAAGGCACGAGGATCTCGCCGTCGTGGTCAGATGGGCTCCCGAGGACGTGAAGGCCGTGGTCCGTCAAGCTCTGGGGGCGATTGGCCAGGACTACCACAAGCTGGCCAAGGTTGCCACGGACTACATTGCCAGTGGCAAGGTCTACGAGACCACTGGAGCACCCCGCGGCATCCAGTACGATGGACCCATGCCCATGGACGTCGGCATGGTGAACGAGAATGGAGACGTTGGCGGCATCTTCAAGCCACCGAAGGGGCACGGCAAGCAGTCGAGGAAGGACGCTGGCAAGGGTCGGGACTCAGATCGCGACACCTGCAAGAACTGTGACAAACGGGGCCATTGGTCAAGGGATTGCTGGGCCCCAGGAGGTGGAGCAGCCAACCAGATGAAAGGCAAGGGCAAGGACGTGGAAGGCGGAAAAGGAGGTAAAGAGAGGAAGAAGTGCGGCAAATGCGAGAAGCCAGGCCATGAGGCCAAGGATTGCAGGTCACACATCAAGTGCGACAAGTGCGGGAAGATGGGCCACAAAGCTTCAGAGTACAGGTCGAAGCCAGAGAATGCTGAGGTCAAGAGAATAGTCAACGAGCAGGACGAGCTGTGGGCCATGGGCGTCACCGAGAGCGTGAACACCATCGGCGACGGCAGCAAGTACGCGTGGGTCTCGATCGATAGCGGGTCGGACGTTGACGGATGTCCCCTCGGCTTTGGTCACTCGAGCGACGACGTCGAGGATCCCACCAAGGTTGAGCTGAGGACGGCCACCAACGACGAGATCCAGGACTACGGCGAGCGGAACGTCGGCATCGCGTTTCTGGACGGGGCTGGCCACGAGGTGATGGCCACGAACCGATTTCGCATCGGCGACTTCAGCAAGCCCGTGCTCAGCTGTGGCATCAGAGTCATGGGAGGAGCGGTCATTCACTTGGAGACGGGGAACAGCTACATGGCCCCGCCGAGCGCGAATGGCGCCCAGGGGAAGATACCCCTGACAATGATCGGGAAGAGCTTCTACGCGAGGTGTCGGGTGCTCGAGGCGGGTGCTCACAGGCATCGAGTGGCACCTGTGATCGATCAAGCGCCCCATGAGCAAGAGCCAGCGCCAGGACCACCACCAGGACCTCAAGCTGCACCTGCACCACCAGATCATCGAGCTGCACCTGCACCACCAGAACCTCAAGCCGCACCTGCACCACCACCACAAGCAGGACATCCACGATAGATCCTGGGCTCCCAGTCGTCAGTCGAGGCATTGAGAGCTCGCCTGAAGGAGCTCAGGAGGCTTGGGATCATCGGTGCGGCCATCTACGGCACCAAGAAGCAGCTGTGGGAGAGGCTCGTCAAGTGCGAGCACCAGCTGGATGAGACGATGAAGGTCAAGGAGGCCCTCGAGGAGCGTCAACGGCGACTCCAAGAAGGCGTCGATCCCGAAGTGCCGAGGACGCTGAAGATCCCAGAGTGGCCTGACGCAGGGACCGTGCGGCAGCACGAGCTTACGCACGCGAAGTTCGAGCCCTGGCGCCTGGAGTGCGTGTTCGGAAAGGGAGATGCCGCACCTCATCGGGGAGTTCAGTTTCTTACGGGCAAGGAGCCAGAGGTGCCCGTCGTGCAGATCGACTACCATTTCTTGAAGGACGATGGCGAGGAGACCGAGGACGCGGCCAACCGCTTCTCCACCACGCTGGGCGTCATCGACTGCGACACGGGTGTTCCTCTGCAGCTCAGCCTCCCAGAGAAGGGAGGCAACCACGACTGCACTGTGACCTCGATCGTGAGCTTCCTCAGGCGGCTGGGCGCCACTCAGCTCAGGCTCAGGAGTGACGGAGAGCGGAGCATTGTCAGCATAGCAAATGCGGTGGCAGCCGAGAGACTCAAGTTCGATGGCTACAAGGTCACAGTGGAGCAGACCCCCAGGTACTCGTCGCAGTCGCTCGGGGCCGCGGGGGCGCAGCAGAAGATCTTGCAGGGCCAGACCAGAGCGATCCGAGCTGCAACAGAGAATATGCTTGGCATCAAGATAGGGCCAGGTCATGTTCTGTGGCCATGGCTTGTTAGACACGTGGGCTTCATCACGGAGATGTTCCACATCAAGTCAAACGGACGGACTCCTCATCAAGATGCTACTGGTACCAAATACCATGGCGTCGTCCTGAAGTTCGCAGAGACTGCCATGTTCAAGCATCCGATGTCGTCGAGTGGCCACATGACAGGAGGCAGGCGTAGTCGCAAGCCCAAGTCGATGTGGGAGAAGGGCGTCTTCCTGGGCAAGACCTACGAGAGCGACGAGTTCCTCATGGGGACGAGCAGCGGGGTGCACTTGGTCAGGACTGTGCGCAGGCTCCCAGTGGAGGACCAATGCGACCTCGAGCTCGTGGCCAAGATAGTTGGGGTCCCCTGGGGCCGAGGCATCGGCCAGATCGGAAGGCCGAAAGGCAAGAGGGTGGTCATTCTCCCGACTGCCCCACCTGAGAAGAAGCAAGAGGAGACCGAGGTCGACGATACCAAGGAGGAGAAGGGAGTTCCAGACCCCACGGTGGAGAGAGGAGTTGCCGAGGACGGGAACAGCTACGCGAGTGCCAGGAGTAGGACAGGCAGCGGCTACATGGATGACGTGGCGCTCACCACACCGAGGCAAGAGGCAGGCGGAAGCTCGTCTTCTCGTCCTGCCCAGCCGACTGGGGAGTAGGAGCTCCCAGAGGTTGAGATGGGCACCGTCGGAGGCGTCGACGGCTTCGTGACGGACGAGATCGACCCGATGCCCGTCATGGATCCAGAGATGGATATCCATTGGCACGAGGGAGAGTATGACGTGGACCTCATCAAGGCAGGCAAGTGCAAGGATATCAACACGATGCAGGAGTTTGGAGTGTTTGAGGCGGTGTCTCCTGATGAGATAGATTCCACTTGGACGAGGTTGTCAACCAAGTGGGTGCACCAGGAGAAGGGTGAAGAGATCCGCTGTCGCTTCGTTGCCAGGGAGTTCAAGAGCAAGGACCCCGAGCGCGAGAGGCTATTCACGCCGGCCAGCGAACCCACGACTGGCAGGCTCATTGACTTCAAGGCGGTGAAGCGGGACCAGCCCACCGTCATCATCGACGCTGTCAATGCCTACTTCCACGCTGAACAAGACAGGCTCGTGGCGGTGGTGCCGCCTCGGGAGTGGATCGAGGCCGAGGAGATCAAGGGCAATACTACGAGGACGATGTGGAGGATGAAGAAGAAGCTCTATGGCGAGAGGGACGCGAGCAGGGGCTTCAGTGACTTCATGAACCGCACCCTCGTCTCAGAGATGGAGATTGAACAATGTCCTGATCAGCCATGCTTCTGCCGCCGAGAGCGGGATTCAGTGGACCTGGAGCTTCATCAGGATGACATCTACGCGACAGCTGATGACAGCAACCTCCAAGCGTTCACGACGAAGCTCAGCAGCAAGGTCAAGATCAAGGTGAGCAAGCTACTCAAGGTAGGTGCGAAGTACCAACATCTGAAAGGAGGGCGAGTGAGAGTCGAGGACGGCATGTTCTTGACGGGCAACAGGAAGTACGCGGACAAGATCGTAAAGCTGCTGAACCTCGGCAAGGCGAAGAGCTCGCCCACGCCCATTGTGACGAAGCTACTGCAGGAGGACTTCGAGCATCTGCTGAACGCCGAGGAGACCAGTCTCTACAGGCAGTGCGTGGGCATCGCGAGGTACATGGTCAACTACGTCACGGAGGTCACGTTCGCTGTCCACGTGCTGAGCAAGAGGTTGGCCACGCCCACCGACAACGACATGAAGAGGCTCAAGCACCTCGGCAGGTACCTACTCGGAGTTCGAGACTACGCACTGTTCTTTCCCAGAGCTGGAGAGACAGAGATTTTGGAGTGCTACGCTGATTCAGATTGGGCTGGAGACACCATCGACAGAAAGAGTGTTTCTTGCGGGGTGTTGTGCTGCGGTGGCTGCGCGCTTCTCGAGTACTCGCGCGGTCAGTGTACCCAAGCGCTGAGCTCAGGAGAAGCCGAGTACTACGCATCGGTGACAGCAGCCGCCGAGGCAATCCACCTCCAGAGCGTGATGGGTTTCTTGGACATGGACGTGAAGATCAGGATCCGCATAGACTCCTCTGCGGGCAAGGCGGTCTGCCACCGCGTTGGAGTGGGGAGGATCCGCCACCTTGAGGTCCGCACCCTGTGGCTCCAGGCTAAGGTGCGAGACAAGAAGCTGGTGGTGATCAAGCAGGCTGGGGAGACCAACCTGGCCGACGTGGGTACCAAGGCGCTGACGAGTCAGAGGTTCCACTGGTTGAGGGCACAGCTGGGGCGACGGCCGTTGGCTGGCGCGGATGACATGGAGGAGAGCACGGCTGTTAGGGTCAACATCGTGAGCGACTCGACGTCCAAGATGGCGAGGGCCGGCGCGGCCCTGATCGCTCTCCTGGACAGCCTGGGCTCGGTGAAGGCGGACGGTGAGTGCGACGTCTACGGCTACGACAAGGACAAGAAGGAGATCTCCCTGCAGGACACCCGTCAAGAGACTGGCGTGCACCTCCAGGGCATGATGCTCATCGTGGTCATGATCACTATCATGATCGTAGCATGCGCAGTCGGTGGCTGCGCGGGCTGGTGCATCGGCTATTTCATGAGGCCGAGTTGCACGAGCGAGAGCAGGCAGGATAAGGAGAAGGTAGAGCTCTCCCAGAGGGCCATCAGGACCAAGAAGCTGAAGGTCGAATACAGGACCGTCTCGACCCAGAGCCAGGTGACGTACTCCTGGCATCGGGAAAGTCCGAGGTTCACACCACTGGGAGAGAGGGCCCAGGGGGCCTGGGCTGAGTGAGGTGAGTGAGTAGAGTGATTTGATGCGGTATCCCGCTGGAGAGTCGAGAGGACACCCAGCGGAAAGGGCTTGAGCGACACCGCAGCAGCGTGTTTTGCCTGCGGCTCGCGGGATCAGGTTTTCCTTGTTTTTGAGCACTGTTTCCTCGTTGAGCGGTCTGATCAGCCGCCTCGTAGAGTCTCCGACATCACCCTCAGGGGGCGTGCAGATATTCGAGGGGGTTCGAGCGAGGATAATGAGTATTGCATGCATGCACGTTTGTATGTTTGGCTGGAGCCATTTTGTGATCAAGATCGCCCAGGCCTGAGGTGAAAAGGATCAGACCTCCACCTAGCATAAAGCTTAACATATGTAGATATCTATACACAGACAAATGTGTATATATATAGAATTCGCCGAACGTCCCCCTGTAGGGGGACAGGCCCGACCTAAGGCCAAAAAGCCCCCCGTCGTGTTTTTGCTCCCCCCGGCGGCCCTCCGAGGGCCCGCCTCTCGGCGCGCGGCGCCTCGCGCCGCGGCCGAGGCTCCACGAGCGCCGGCCACCTGGAGAGGGACCGCGCCGCCGCCCGCTGGGGGTTGGGAACGGGCCGGGCGGACGGGGTCTCCCAGAGATACAGCGCATTGAAAAAGTCAAGACGGAAGTTTTTTTTTTTTGGGGGGGGGGGGGGGGGGGCGAATTTCGGCCCCCAGGGGCCCTCGCCAGGCCTCGGGGCTGTCAAAAAACGACTCAGGATGAACAACGGGTCCTGGGGAATGGGTCGAGGCTTCCGGGGACCGCGCATTGAAACAATCACGACATCGGATCTCTGGGGTAGGCGCCGCTCTCTTGGGACGGCGGCGCCGCCCTCCCCAGACCTCCGACGTCGTGTTTTTTTCACAGCGTCGACCCCCAGATCGGTCTGGACCCCTTCCCCAGGACCGGCTTTTTTCATCCCGAGTCGCTTGTTGGACGGTCCCGAGGCCCGGTGTATACGGGCCCGCGGATGCCGAAAGTAGCAAACGACCTCCCGTCGTGATTTCTTCACAGCGCCAGGGGGTCTGGGTCTGGGGGTGGCAGAATCTGCTGCGTGCAGCTGGCTCCAGCCCCAGAATCGCTCGAGAAACTCCATCGTCGCCTTCCAAGGCCCCTGCATCCTCCTACCACGCATACTTACCATACGCTTGGCATCGCTCGGACGTGTGCCTTGTTCCTTCGGCGAGGACCTTCGAGGAACATCCTTCATCATTTGTCGAAAAAACCGCGCACGAAACTGAGAAAAACACATGGAATGGACGTCCGAGCGATGGCCAGTACGGGTTGGCTCGCAGCTCTGGGCCTCCCCCGAAGCCCCGCCGCCTCCGAGAGGTCCTGCCCCCTCGCACTCGCCTAGGCGCGCCGCCGGTACCGGCGCCGCGAGAGCCTCGCGGCGGCAGTCCAGAGGGAAAGGAACACACAGACGCAAGGAATCGTCGACTCCAAGGAAAATATAGGAAACTATGGGAAATCGGGGGGAAGACGAAAACCCATACGGGATGGGAAGCTATGGGGAATCCTGGGATTTGTGTGTATTTAGTTGTGTGTCCCTGGTCTCCTTCAGACAAGGGTGTCCAAACGTGTTGGGAGCTCCTGGAGGTGCGGCTCTGGCCCCGGGGCCAGCAGCAGACACAACCCGCGAGGAGCTGAGAGGGCGCGAGAGGGAAAGGCGAGTGAGCGGTGGGCGGAGGAGGAGGAGGTGGAGGAGGAGGAGTAGGAGGAGGAGGAGGAGGGGATGATACGGTAGAGGGAAATAAATAGTGGACCCCCCCCGCCCAATAAGATTAAATATGCGGTCCCCCCATAGCCAGGTCTCGTCCTTCTCGGTGTCACGTTCATTCCTGCCTCTCGATTCGCATAAATGCTTATCCAGATGAGCTTGTGGATTTTGCCGCTCGCATAGAGCGAAAGTGGCTTCGTGATCGCTTTCTGCCGCCGAGAGAGGTGTCTCTGGGGAGGTGGTGGATGTCCATGAGAAGTCTGTCCCCCCGTCTAAAGCTTAAGCGCTTTGCCGAATATTCAGTAAGTGGTGGAAGTTGGGATCAGGTGTCGTGCAGGTGTTGGTGCATGCTTCGATTGTGGGAGGTGTTTTGGTTCGATTGCCAACGACCCCACGCGACAACATCCTGGCCACTGCGTCCGCTCTCCACCCACCGCTCTTCACATTGGAGAAGATGATTACAAAGGGGGGGAGACCGTACGCATGCGGTCACACAATTGATTCGTGTTTGCAGCGCAAAGGTCTGATTCGCCTCGGCAAGTTTCGCTGCCGTGCGCGTCTGCTACGAGTGTACGGATGCGAAGGTCGCGCAGGCATGGCATACATCGCTTAGATTGCTGCTCATCTCTCGTAAGCAACGCGCGTGCCCCCCAGGCTGCGATCCGATCCGCCTCATTGCTTTTTGGTCATCCGTATATTCACCTGTTCCTTACCATCCTTCTCATTCTCCTCCGCGGCGCTTCTGGATCGCAAATCTAGCGACGATGCAGCTTGTTGTTGAGCGTTCTCAGTCGTTGCTCCACCTCTCCGCACACATTCGTAACCGACAGCTGCTTTGAAGGACTTGTTACGAAGAATGCGATTTGGCAATTTCATGCCCGGTGTCCTTGTTGCTGGGGTCCCACGAGTCATGCGCGTTCCCTGGCTCATTCTATCCAGGCTGCCTGGTCCTCACCGGTCGGCGCGCGTTTGATCGTCGACGCTGCAAACAGAGGATGCCATACCAGTGACTCGCCTGGTTTTGCGTGTCCGCGGGCCGGGAGTTGCGATGTGTGTGTGTGTGTGTTGGACATTTGTCTCGGGCGTCAAGGGTCCCCCGCCGATCAAACTCCTCGCTCCCTCTCCTTGTCCACCTCCTCCTCGTTTCTCTCTTCCCTGACACCCTCTTCGTCGTCAGGATTGATCCTGTAGGCCTCTGATTTCGTCGTCGTTATCGTCGCCCTCAACCTCTCCTTCATCGTTCTCGGCGTCTTTTTCGTCCTGATCTTCGTCTCCTTTTTCCTCGTCCTCCTCCGCCTCCTTCCCTCTCCCCGCCGTTCTTCCTACCTTCGTTCAACTGCTTGTCCTCCTCGTCCGAGCGACCCTCCTTCCCGAACTCTTATTCCTTCCCACTTGGGTGTTCCCCCCCCTCCCCTCCACATCGCCCTTCCCCACTCGTCGTCGTCGTCGTCGTCGTCTTCCTCGTCGTCGTCCTTTACCTCCTCCTCATCGCCTTTATCGTCATCATCATCGCCCCACCATGGCGTACCGCTCACGCGTTTCGTGGCCCCGCCGGGAGCTCCACCCTAGAGCTTCGGTGCTTGCGCCCGACCCCCGACATGCCCTGGGCTGTGATGCCCGAAAGACCCTCTCGCTCACTGCGCGAGGTGCCCTGGGACTCCTTGCCCCGGCGGCCCTGGCTGCTGGCGCACGCCGCCGCCGTCGTCCGCGCGCCCTTCCTCTGGCTGCGGTTTGTCGCTGTCCTTTGAACTCTTCCATCGCCTCCTCCAGGAAAAATGATGGGCCCATCCACCACCACTACCTGTAGGAGGGGTCGGAGGCGGAGGAGGAGGAGGAGGAGGAGGAGGAGGAGAAGAACCTCCTCATCCTCCCTTCTCACCCGTCCCAGATATGGTAGTGGCGGTGGAAAATTAGCCCATCAAAAAAACGCAGAGGGTTAGGCGGATGGGTGCCCTCGGATTCCGAGGCGGCGGGCTTCGCCCGCGCCTGCGCGTCTCGCAGCGGACATCCCGCGCAGTGCGGGGGCCCGTCCCGTCGATCGATAGCTGTGGATGGACCTTCCTTTGGTACGCCCGGCCTCTGCCTCCTCCGCCTCCTCTCTACGTTGGGCTCCTCCTCCTCCTCCTCCTCCTCCTCCTCCTTTCTCCTCCTCCTCCTGCTCCTCCTCCTCCTCCACATCCCCAGCCTTCCCCATCCCCCTCCTCCGTCGCGTTGGCCTTTTCGTCCTCGTCGCCCTTCGTCCTCCGCCCCCCTCTTAAAGCATTGAACCAGAGAAAGTGACGGTGAACATCTGCGCGGTCATCCTTAGAGAAGTCTGAGACGGCCTCCAGCCCTCGGAGAAGCTTCCTTAACCTCACTCGAAGCCGCGGAGAGCCTCGCAAAAGGCGCGAGGGCGTCTGAGAGGAGTCGCCGCCTTCTGAGAAGGCAGGACGCGAGCTAAACGGCGTTTTGGTTTTTGTTCGGGCGTAGCCCGAAATTGTTGCTCGCGAGGTAAACTGACTGAACTGAAATTGACTGAACTGAACATACTGGTCGCGCCCGTTACGCGAAGGTTTTTATTCTCGGCCGCCAAGGGTGCGACCTATGGCGCAACAGGTAGGAGACGGTTTTATTCTCGGCCGCCGAGGGCGCAACTTATGGCGCAACCGATAGGAGACGGTTTTATTCTCAGCCTCCGAGGGCGCAACCTACGGCGCAACCGATAGGAAACCGAGCTGGAGTAGGAGGAAGACGAGGAGGATGAGGAGGAGGACGAGGAGAAGGATGACGACGCCGATCAGGATGCGGAGGAGGACGGGGGGGAAGATTCGAGCAGTACGAGGACCAAGTGTGGGCATTCGAATGCGTGCGGGGCTACGCCCGACTTCTGCTCGCCGTTTGGGCTGGCGGTGGGACCCATCCGCGGCCTCGCGGCCCCTGCCCCGGCCGCGACCCCGCGGACGCGGGGCGTTTTCCCGCGGATGCCATGCCCCGCTCGGAACGTGTGCGTGCGACCGCGCGCCCGCGGGATCGCGCCCCGGAACCCGGACCGCGAGGCTGCAAATACGGATGGGTGCGCCGTTCGTGGCTGCTTCCCCCCGCGGTGCGCCGGGAAAAGCGGCGGCGCGGCGCAGGAGGCGGCCGCCATGGCCAATTGCGTGACCGTCGCCAAGGGCAGCCGCTACTTCGACGGCCTGAAGGCCGCGGGCGGCCGCCCGGCGGGGCTGCGGGTCTGAGGCCACGCGGACGGCGGACGGGGTCTCGTGGGAGGCGTCTCGGGGGCGTTTTGGAAGCAGCTGCTGCACCTCTTGGGGGGCCTCCTGGGGCCCTCTTGGGAGCTCTTCGGCGGCCTGGCTGCGGTTGGGGGTGGACGGCCCGAGATGTCCGTCCAGGTTCCCCCTCTGGACCCTCTCTGGGGCTGGAGCGCCGCCGCACCCTTCCTGCCGGTGGGGCCCTGGCTCGGGAGGGTAGGCCCGCCATGAAGAAAGTCGGAGGGTGGCAGGAGGCCTCCAGGAGGCCTCCTGGTTCACCGCAGGGGGTCTTTCGGCGGGGAATAGAACTCGTCCCTCCTCCTCCTTCCCCTCCCTCCTCCTCGTCCTCCTCCTCCTCCTCCTTCCCCTCCTCCTCCTCCTGCTCCTCCTCCTCCTCCTCCTCCTCCTCCTCTTCCTCAGCATCCTTCCCCTCTTTTCCCTTCCTCGTCCTCCTCATGCTCATCCTCCTCGTCCTCCTCGCCTTCCTCCTTCCCTTCTTTCCCCTCCCTCCCTCTCCTCCTCCTCCTCCTCCTCCTCCTCCTCCTCCTCCTCGTACTACTCCGGCAAGTCCCAGTCTAAGAGACGGGGGCCGGCGGCATCGGGGCGAAGCCCTTACAGATATTACGTGGGCAGCAATTTGCCCTGATATGATTGTACGACGTGTTCGGGTCGGACATGCGTGACGAACATAAACACATAGTATCAATGTTTCTTTCTGCGTCCCACCTCTGGCCCACGGCAAAGGCTCGATGGTGGGATGGGCCAAAGGCCACTGGATCCGCCACCCGGGTGCAAGGGCTTAGCAGTTGTTGGCCCTTCTAGAAATGTGTCCCGGATGAAAGAGGTGTGTGTGTGTGTGTGTGTTTGCGCGGATGTCATCGCCAGGGCCATGAGGTCGGCAAGATTCCTTGCGTGTCCCGCCTCGCGTCCTCGACGAATGACGACACCGGGTCGCAGGACCCCGCAGGATCCCAGGAATCCCAGAGGGTCCCGCTTCGCGTCCTCGACGAATGACGACACTCTGCATACCAGCTAGCCCCGAGGGGAAGGCGTCGCGGCGTCATGCTCTCCAGGCGTACAAGATCCATTTCAAGAACGCGCAGCACAAACAGGCACGTACATCATAGCGTAGCCTCACAACACATCTCATAGCACAGCGAGCCATGGCATGTTTAATAATAGTAGAGCAAATCATGAATTTACATACTTGTTTATTCTTGCTACCACTACAGTAGCACACGCACTCCATCACATCATAATAACATGTTTGGCGAGGTCCGGCATAACATAAAATCACATCACACAACACAGAAAGCATACCACAGCCTGACACTGCATCATACCACAGATCATCGCATAGCATACCATACCATGGTCGGAGGTTGGGGGGTGAGTCCGACGTGAAACGGAGACCCCCCCTACCGGGAAATCGATTTCGGTTTCGGGTTCGTGCCGTGCGTGCCGTGCGTGCGTGCGGGCGAGGCGAAGCTGCGTGGGCGTGCGAGAGGAAATCCTCCTGTGGCTGGGCCGCGGCCGGACCAAATGTTGCTCATCCGGCGGCCAGTGCCGCGCGATGTCCCGCCGGTGTCCCGCTGGTGTCCAAAAATCCTCCTGTGGCGGGGCCGCGGCCGGACCAATTGTGACTCCTCCGGCGGCAGGTGCCGCGCGGTGTCCCGTTGGTGTCCTGTTGGTGTCCTGTGGTGTCCCGTGGTGTCCCGTTCAGTGAGATCGATAGTGAGATCGATAATGAGATCGACTGAGATCGATGTGGTGCCCCGAGGTGTCCCGTGGGGTCCCAAAAAAAGGAGAATGATAGTGAGATCGATAGTGAGATCGACAGGTGTCCCGTGGTGTCCCGTGGTGTCCCGTGGTGTCCCGTTGAGTCAGATCGATAGTGAGATCGATAGTGAGATCGATACTGAGATCGATGTGGTGCCCGGAGTGGTCCCGTGGTGTCCCAAAAATTGAGATCGATAGTGAGATCGATACTGAGATCGACAGGCGTTCCGTGGTGTCCCGTGGTGTCCCGTTGAGTGAGATCGATACTGAGATCGATATTGAGGTCGATGTGGTCTCCCGAGGTGTCCCGTGGTGTCCCGTGGTGTCCCTTTGAATGAGATTGATAGTGAGACCGATAGTGAGACCGATAGTGAGATCGAGAGGTGTTCCGCGGTGTCCTGTGGTGTCCCGTGGTGACCCGTGGTATCCCTTGATGTCCGTTGAGTGAGATCGATAGTGAGATCGACAAGTTATCCCGTAGTGTCCCGTGGTGGTCCGTTGAGTGAGATCGATCGTGAGATCGATTGAGTCAGATGTTAGTTCCCCTTTTTCTCCCCCTCCACAACCTCCTGATCACCCGAAGGGTGGTCGTATAGGTATGTCATATAAGATCATCGCAACCCCTTCTGCACCACAACATGTCAACGCAGACTTCGACAGGCCAGGGTTTACTAGAGTATATCATATCACAACAAAGGAGCATGTTACATAGTTGTGCTATGATCGCTGCCCATACGGCAACGACCACAGCACACCATGATCTTTTTTAGTTGTAATCGAAGAGTATCACATGCCAGAGCAACACATACCATAGTGCAACAGACATGAGTCATTGTTAATACAGCAGCACGGAACACCTATACTGTCACACAAGTGTTACATGTAGTAAAGAACGCGACCGGGAACCCATCGATAGTAACACGCCATAACCGTTGACGAGCAAATGAACACACCTATCACAGCGCACATGTAGTATTAACCCACATGTTTGGCATGCGAAAAGAGGGTGTACCACATAACTAAGATGGAGTACAACATTATACCAAGAGTGCAATACGACAAACGCCAACGAGAGTGAAACTACGGGTGCAACGTCAGGACATTACATACTATTAGGTTTGGATCAAATTTGGTGGTGATGCCGAACACAAGCGAACACACAGGACCATCAAAGTACGTAACATGACGGGGTACTAGTAAGTATCATTGTACTGATTAGAGATGGACGTGGTACAACATAGCAGGGGAGAGTACATTCTGACATCACGGCAGGTGGCAGGCCATAACGTCATAGCGTATGTCCAATTCGTCCAGCACCGAACACGGTTGGAAAAGAACACACCAGCGACCGATTCGCGCTGTCTTTTCAGACGCGACCAGCAGGCTGGCCGTGGGAACAGAGAGGCGCAGCAGCGACCGCTTGGACGACGTGACAACCGTGACCAGGCGGGTGCGCGGGGCAGACGGCCCGAGTGCGGGCGAGGGGTTGCGTCGGCAGTGGCGCAGGCTGCCCTCCGGCGTGCAGGTTGGGCGGCCAGCAGCGAGGCCGAATGGTTGCTCGCATGTCGTGCACGTGCATACCGTCGGCCCAGACTAGTAGGTCGACCCTGCCAAGTCAAGGGTACCCTTGTGTCCTGCGTCTCGCGACCCATGCCTCCTGCATTCCTATGGCAATGTGGCCCTTGGAAGGGTCTTGTGTCCTCTCGCGTGTCCTGTCCAATCGAGTCCGACTGTAGGCACATCAAATGAGGTATCGGCTTGCCAGCGTGTGCTGCACGGAAATGCCTTAACCTCGGGGGGCCTGGGACGAGGATAAATCCGTTCCGGAGCGTTCCAGATTGCTCTGAGAAGTTGCGGCGCCCGAGACATGACATCCCCCAGAGCCGCGGGATATCAGAAATTCTCGAGTTACCCTGACCCGATTCTGTCCTCGTCCTGGCTTCGTGCTGTCTCCCCCGATCGCCTCAGGGACCCACAGAAGACCCGGGGCACGCCCTAGACCCTCATGGGTCGACGAAGGATGTGCCCCAAGGCACTTATGATCGTGTGTGTTTGTTCTTCTGTACAGTGGAGGGTGCCCTGGGTTTCTTGGGTTTCGATGGTTTTGCTGTGGAAGGCGTGACGTTTCCACACCAACAGTCGATGGGTGTGGCTTCTTGTGGAAGGCTTCTTGTGGACTGGCTCCCAGTGTACCGTGCCAAGCCGCGGTAGTTTTTGGGGCCGCGGCCAGGGAGGCGCGGAGTCGGGCAGTGCGGCCGGGGAGCGCAGGCGAGGTGGCCAGCGAGTGGCGGAGGGAGGCGTGGGGATAAGCCCGAGAGGCCACGATGCACGACAGCATTGGCCGAGGAAGTCGTGCTAGTTTGGCTGTGCATCACTCTTCCTCTTGGTGGCACGAAGGCTGCTGAAACCAAGGTAGAGTCGAGCCGAGCCTCCAGAGAATGGATGCGGGAGGATGAGAGAGGGGAGGTGCATTTAGGTTTTGAGGTTATTCGACACGTTTATAGTGGTGCCCCTGCGGGATTCTGGGGTGCTCACCGTCTGCAGAAGGAGTTTCTGGGGAAACCTCCTAGCCTCATTGATTCTGGTGGATCTTTTAATTTTCAACGGCCTCTAACAAGAGTCTATCGAGTTTCCCATGGATGTCCGACGGGTTCCCTAATAATCTCCCAACTGGGATTTTTGGATCAATCCCCTTTGGGATCCCATGTGGTTTTTGAAGGTTTGTCTGGGTATGAAGCGGATTTCGGGGGAGTGCGATAGGATGGGGAGAGGCGTCCATTACGTTTTCCAAGTTTGCTCGCTACCGCACGCTTCCGACAATCGCCAGAGGATCGCGCGGCTCGCCGCTCCATTCGCCTTTTCCGTTTCGAAAGTCTGATCTTCCCCGACCGTGCTTCCGTTGTTGCTGGACCCTTGCTTTTTGCAGGGCAGTGGGATTCGGGAGGGCTGGGAGCAAGGAGAAGCGACACCCCCCATCCCCAAGAAGTCCCACTGAGTCCCGAAACCAGGGATCCCTAGGCGACATCGACGAGGACGAGGACACCGACGACGATGCCGAAGACGAGGACGATGACAACGGACTTCGCCAAAGACCGACAACGACGACGACCGACAACGACGACGACCGACGACGACGGACGACGACGACGACGACAACAACGGCGGTGGCGACGAACGACGACGACGACGACGATGATAATGATGACGGCGACGGACCGCCTTCCCTGGCTACACAAGGAGCGATCCCTGGGCCGCCGAGGGACGCCGACGACGACGCCGACGCCGCCGCGGACGACACCGACGCCGACGCCGACGCAAACGCCGACGCCGAAGCCACCGCCGCCGCCGACGATGCCGACGCCGACCCCGACGCGGCCGCCGCGCCGCCGCCGCCGACCCCGAAGCGGCCGCCGCGCCGCCGCCGCCGACGCCAATGCCGCCGTTGCCGACGCCGCTGCCGACGACCACGACGACGACGACGACGACGACGACGACGAAGCAGACGACGACGATACGACGACGCTCCCATGGCTTCCAGAGGAGGGCCCCGTGCTGCCGCCGCACACCGCAGCGCCCCCCGCCCGCCTTCTCTCCCCCCCGCCCGACCGCCCGAGTGCCGCGTGAAGCGCTCCGGCCTGCTGAGCGACGAGGCCCGGCGCAGTGCGGGCAGGGGGGTCTCGGGAGCCTTGAGACGGGGGTCAATGCAGACGGTGGTCAGCCAGAGCGCCAGATCTTGCAGGATCTTGCAGGGCCAGGCTCCCATTGACCCCGGTTTGGGTGCAGGGTCCTGCAGGATCTTGCAGGATCCTTCGCATTGACCCGGGTTTGGATGCAGGATCTTGCAGGATTCTGCAAGGCCTGGCTGACCTGGGTCTGGCTTGACCCGGGTCAGAAGATCCCCGAGGGTCGAGCTTGCCAGACGGCGTCCCTCGCCCAGGGTGTCCTTCCCGCTCCACCCTCTGGAGCCCCCAGAGCCCCTCGGGTCCCGAAGAAGCACGGCGGTAGGTTTCTCGCTAGCACCAGCCTCTGGCGACTCTGGTTTAGATTTTTGGGGTCGACGTTGTGCCAGCAAAACTGGCGTCCTGGGCGTGGGCAGAGGGCATGCCTTGCCCAGGGTGTCCTTCTCGCTCCACCCTGGAGTCCTAGTTATTTTGGGGAATGTGACTCCCGCTTGAGACTTCGTCACATGTTCTGTGGTCGTAGCGTGTGAGTTTTCCTGCGGTTCGCGTGTGGCTTCGTTTCGGCTACGGGCCCTGAAGCTGGAAATGTGCAGCTGGCCCAGGCGTCCCTGTAACCCTCCATGGGCTCGTGAGGGGTGCTCCCCAGACATCCTGTGTCTTTGTTGTTGGGCTACGCCAGAGGAGGAAAGGGTACCGACACGGGGCTACCCTTCCCTCGTTTTCCCTCTTTTGGCATTCCTGGGTGGCCCTCGTCGCCACCGCTGGACTGGCCTCGAAATTCTGGTCAGAACGCACCCCTGGAGAGGTCGGGGGAGTGAAAGTATCGGTACCCATTGGTTTCCCTAATACGGGGTCCCGGGAAGTCCCGACTCGTTCCCCAGGTCTTGTTTTTCACCCCGATCCGTAGTTCGATGGCCCTTGGGCCCCGCGAGGGCCCCAATATGCAGGGGCAGGGGCCGACAACGGCCAAACGCCTCCCGTCGTGTCTGAACACGGCGCGAGCGTGTTTGGCTGTGGAGGCCTCCCCAGAAATCTCGGGGCACCTTGGGCCAGGGGCACCTCTGGCAACTCCCCGACCTGGGGGCCGAGCGCGCGCGCACGCGCGCGCGCGGCGGAGCCTGCCTCGTCGGCCGCGGGCACTCGGGGCACGCGCGCTCGCCGGTGCGGTGGCCGCTGGAGTGCGCGGCGTCCCCTCGGCCGCCTTACTTGCGGCGGCGCTCGGCGGCGCTCGCGAGGCCTCGGGGGGCCGCTAGCGCTGCTGGGGGCGGGTCACTCTCCGCCACGGCCGGGCGAGGCCCGGGGCGGCGGGTCTCGGTCCAGCTGTAGGGAAACGAACGCTATACACCGACGCGTCTTCCGGCCATGCACTGACACTAGCACAGGAAAGCGGATCCCGGATCCTGGCGTAAACATTTTTCGCTGATTCCCCGGGAAGCGGAAACAGAAGGTATTACCCCACACCACCCCGACGTCGCCCCCAGACCCCCCAAAAAGTCCGGGGATTAAAGACAGCCCGCCGCTGGTATATAATGTCTATGCTCCAGTTTCCGGTCCAGGGCCCGGGCGGCCGCCGGGGGCCGGTGCTCGAGCCAGCAGACCCACTCGCGCGCGTCGTGTGGCCAGAATCCCGACGGGAGGCCCGCGGCCGTTGTCGCGCCCCGGGGGGCCCTCGGCAGGCCCTGCATGGGGCTGTGAGCAAAACGGCTCAGGAGGACGAGCTTGTCCCGGGGGAAACAGGTCGAGACCTCTGCGGGTCCACGTTGTGAAAAAATCGCGACGTCGAGGGTGATGAGAGTTCGTGTTTATTTGAAGCATTCATTTGATGAGCTTGCCAGGCTATTTGTCCCTGCGCGGTTTCGAAGCCCTTTGGGCGTCCTCGGTCGGTCCATGTCGGGTTCGCTTTTCGGGTCCCTCGATCCGCTCGTTGTCTGGACTCGTTCGGTCCACGCGTCAATGTTTTTCAATGGATCTGAGGCTTGACGTCAGCCCACGTCCAAATAACAGGCGTCGGGGTCTGGGGATAACTTCAGCCGGGGGCAGGGAGAGACGCCCTGTGGTTGCCTCCAAGCGAGGGCGATCGGGCCAGATCAGGGCGCGCTGAGCATGGGGTGGAGCCAGCGTGAAGCATCGGATGCGACGATAGGGGGCAAGTAGGCCAGGGGCGGGCAATACGAGCATTCGCTGGGGAGCCTCGCCGAAGACATGGGCCGTTGGCGCCACTGGATGCGCGTGTTTTTTTCTCTCGGGCTATCCTCCCCGCTCGTCGCCCCCGCAGGAACCAGCAGCGCGGAGCCACGGCGAGGGAACGCATGACGGCGGCGCCGAGGCAGGCAGCGAGCAGCATCCGCTGGAAGAGGCCCCGAGCAGAGCACGCGCTTCCGCAAGCGTTGGTCCGTGCGCTGCAGCGCAGGCAGCACACGAACATGCGGCGCCGTCCTGCGCCGTCTCGGGGACGACAGACGTGGCGTGGCAGCGAGTGAGACCCCCCCCGCCGCTGCAGGGCGCACCACGGAGCAGCCACCGGCTCTCGGCGACGTAAGGGAAGGCCGCGGCGTGCATGCCTGCTGCCCCCCGTGCGCCTGTCGCACGCACTGCAGCACGCACCCAGATTGACCCCGGCGCACGTTCGGCGCCCGGGATCCCGGGCGCCGAGCGTGCGCGACCAGTGCGCCAATGATGCCCCGCGGTCGGGGCGCCCGAGGCCACAAAGGGCAGGGGGACCGTCGGCCGCCGAGGCGGGCAGCGGGCACGGGGTCGGCAGTCGGCGCGAGGAGCGCGGACCCTGAGGGGAGGGGGGCCCGAGCTTTCTCACCGTCTTCGGCCCCTCGGGCTTGGCATCGCTCGGACGTGTGCATTTTTTTCCTCCGGCGGGGACCAACGAGGATCATGCTTGATCATTCGGCGAAAACCAGGCACGACACCAAACAAAGCACAGGGAATGGACGTCCGAGCGATGGCCAGCGGGGGGCTGCTCAGGCGCCCGAGACCGCCCAACGACCCACGGCCCGGGATGGAAAGCTCGTTCCGAGGAGGCTCTGGGTCAGGGGCAACGCTGCGGAGGGACAGACTCAGAGGGGAGCGCATCGAACCCCAATCGCCCACTGATCGCCGATATGGGCCCGATAGCCCACCCCGCTCCCAGGAACACGCCATGCCGCCATCGTGGGCCCATCGCCGATCTCTCGGCAACGTATCGCCGATGCCAGGCCGACGTTTTCCGCCCTGAGCCTGGTCCCCCCCGCAACGCTTACCCTCGCCTTGGGGTCCAGAGCACGTCTCCTTCGGGGCCCTTTTTCGAGGCGGAGCTTTCTACATACAGTCGGGGCGCTGAAGAAGGATGTTGGTGCGGAGTGTGCTTGCAAACGGGCACGGGATTGAGGGGCCCAACGACGTGTTCACCGTGCTCCCCTGTATTCCATTATATATTCGCTCAAGCTTTCACAGGTTCGCTCGCATGGGCCCCCCGTGCGGGCCCCAGACTGCCGCGGCGGCGGTCGCGGTCCATGTGGCGGTGGCGCTAGGGATCTGGAGCTCGACGCCCACGCTCATCTGCCCGCAGCCGGTGCGCCCGGCCCCCTTCTGCCCAGCGCTGATTCGTCCCGACTGCGTGTTGACGGCAGCGGCTCCGGACTCGGGGCCGCCCGGGGGCTCTGCGGCTCTCGGACTGGGCGAGGTGCCCAAGGAGCTGGCGGAGACCCACCTGACGGTGGTCCGCCTGGAGGAGCGACTGGCGGGGCTGCAGACGGCGCTCGAGGAGGAGGAGTTTATGCGTGAGCTCGGACCGGTCATGCGGTTCGCTGTTTGGTATGAGGACGACACTTACTGGCACGAGCGGATAGCGATGGCGGCTCACCTCGTTCCCGGCGTGGAGCTTCTGGATCCGATGAAAGGGGCACTTCTATGAGTTCGGTGCCGCGCCCGACGCGTCCGAGCTGGTGGAGCAGATCAAACTGGCAGAGGGCGAGGCGTTCGGGATCACCAGGCGTCGGGGGCCGGCGCACGAGGCCATCACGCTGCAGCACATGCCGCTGGTGGTGGATGACGGCCGCGCGGTGCCGGGCGTTGCGCCAGGCGCGGCGGCCCCGGCGCTGGCCACGCCGGCTGCCCCGCCATCTGACGTCACGTCGCTGATCATCGGCCCGGTGCATCCCCGCTTCGGACGAGAACGGCACCCGTCCTCTGATGCGGGGGAGTACGCGAGGGCTCTAGAAGTCAGTCGTCGGCCGATGCCAGTGAAGCGAGTGCCGATCTCCATCGTCGTGACCTTCCTTGACACGGGGCACATGCGGGTGCCCAGGATCTTGGATGACGAGGCCGCCGCCATGAAGGCGGGTGGAGGGCTGGAGGGCCGCCTGAGCGATGCCCTAGACGGTGGCACGAAGACGTCCCCAGCTGGTGTGGATGCGAGGACCCTGACGGTGAGCCACGACGAGCACGGGGAGCGGCACCAGGACTGGCGGTTAGTCTGCGCGGAGATCTCGTACGGCCATTTCGGTGAGCGGGAGAAGTACCATGAAGGGCCTCCTGTGACGTTGTCGTCGCTCAAGAACATCCAGCGTCAGGGAGGCGACCCCCGCCGTTTCCTTCCCATCTGGCGTCGAGATTCGGACGTGAGCCCGCAGGAGCGCGCGGGCATCGAGATGAAGCTGCTGCCGAGGAGCCTCTACCTGAGCGGCGGCTACGGCCAGGTCAACGGCCCTTCCCTTGCGAGAGTCGAGGCCATGCCGACGAGGGTGTGCCAGATCATCGAGGCCCACTCGGCAGGGACCCCTGGCCGCGCCGATTGGGAGGACGTGAAGTGGGCTGGCGCGGAGGCGGGGAAGGCTCAGGCCCTGGGGCGATGGTCGCGGCCGGCGCCGGCCGTGGTCGAGCCGACGCTGGAGGCTTAGATCCGGCGGCTGACGACGAGCGAGTGAGGCGCGTCGCCATGTTGCCGCTCTTCCCCATTCCCCTCGCCCCCGCGCCCACCA